TGCCAATCCCACGTGCACATCCGTCTCAACCCATCGTAGTGCCAAAACGAGTTCACCACAAACCTCTCCTTCTTAGCATCCTTCCCAGCGATCCAGTTGTTGTGCAGAATCTTACTCCCCTTTCTCCGGCACGCCCCCATCACATCTGCCGCTTCCCAAAACCCGTGCACCGCGCCGTTAGGGTAAATCGCCCTGTCGAGGAAAATCGTCCGAAGACCGTTCTTCCACACACATTCCTCCTTTCCGGGAACCACATTCTCTCCTTTCACCCCGCAGAGGATATCATAGAAGCTCGGCTGCTCGGATAGCTTAGTTGTGGCTGCGTGTGCTGTGATCGCCTCAAACCCTTCGATTGTCCGCGCATCTGACCTCGCGAAATAAAACCCGGAGTTAATTCTGCGGATTCCAGTTCCAGGAAGGCTGGCGTTCGGCTCGTTGCTCTGGATCGGGAAGGTGCCAGGCCCGTACGACATGAGGTCCGGGAGAGGGTCGGAGAACCAGACGATGTCAACGTCGGTCCAGAGGACCGAGTAGCCTGCCTTGAGCACTCGCAGCACGGCGCGGGATTTGAGCTTGGTGAATTGGCGGAAGCACTGGCTGCCAAAGGCGCAGTTCTTAGAGTCGATGCCCTTGAGACCCACGCTAACCTGGAGGTGGGAGAGATAGGAGGAGCACATATGGGGAAGGGGGATCAAGGGGATTTGAGCTTTGTCAACTGGCGGAAGCACTGGCTGCCAAAGGCGCAGTTCTTAGAGTCGATGCCCTTGAGACCCACGCTAACCTGGAGCAGGGAGAGGAAGGGAAGGAAGCGGGGGAAAGGAGGAAGTGTTGAATTGAGGCAATTTGAGATTGACGATTTGGCAAAGAACTGGCTGCAAAGACCAGCTCCCTTTCATGGAAGAGGAAAAGGAGGGAGGATGAAGGGGGGAGAGGGGAGGGGGAAGAAGTGGGAGAAATGTGAGGGTGGGAAGAGTGGGGGATGCAAAATGACTTCGACAAGGAGGTGCTGGCCTCACTGGTTACTGGCCTCACTGGTTACTGGCCTCACTGGTTACTGGCCTCACAGTTACTGGCCTCACTGGTTACTAGCCCATCCATTGCTCATTCATCCATAGCCAGATTCATTACTGGCCCAGCTACCAAGTAGCATGATCCGTTACTAGCCTCCATAGCCAGATTAATTACTGGCCCAGCTACCAAGTAGCATGATCCGTTACTAGCCTGATTCGTTAGGAGGGCTCACCTGCTCGTAGTACACCGCCAGCCCTTGCGTGAACGCGAAGCGATAGAGGTCCTCATCGAGCGCTGCGACCACGAGATTATCCGCCAGGCCGAGACCCCTCAGGCGGCACACGAAGCTCATCAGCATCTCCGCGTAGCCGAACGTAACCGCGACTAGGGTTACCACCTTGAGCCCGTTCTCCTCCCTCGCGACGCGCGGCAGCAGCTGCTCCATTGTGTGCGGCAGACCGATGGAGGTTTTTGGCGAAGGAACGGCTGCGATTGAGTAATCCTCCTGCTTATCGACGGACACGGTTCCGCACTGCCACTTGTGGCCCGTCGCGTCGAGCTTCGGATCCGATTGGCTGTTTTCGACGAAGTTGGAAAACTCGCACGTGCACGTGGCGGGACGCAGGCGCTTCTGAAGACACATGTTGAAGACTGCGGGGGGGGTGGCGGAGGGGAGAGGGGGACAGAGGGTGAGAGGGAGAGGGGAAAGTGGGAGCGGGGAAAGAGGGGGAAGGGAAAGGGGGAAGTTGGGTTGGAGAACTCGTGCGTGGTGGGGCGCAATCGCTTTAACATATAGGGGGAGCGGGGGAAAGAGACTGTGGAGAGGGGTGATTGGGGGGTTGGTGGGGGTCGGGGTAAGGGGGTTTGGAATGAGGGGAAGGGGTGATTCGTTCGCACATGCACCTGACTGGGCGCACACACCCTAAACGAGTTCAATCATAATTATGTTCTCTTGCAACTTTACTCAATTTGCGGTTGAAGTGTACACCCCATACAGCCCCTCCGCTACTGTTTTCCTCCTCCCCGCCTTCTCTCCATTCCCCCCTCCCCCACCAGCTGTCCCCCCAACCCGACTTCCCCCCGCCCCCCCAATTCTTTCCGCCTGCGAACCCTGCTGTACCCAAACACCCCCGCCTCGACCAGCGCCATACCTGACGGTTCGTGACACGTGGCGAGTTTCCACGGCACGTGCAGCGCCGTGCCCTTCTGGTTGACGTACGATCCGTGGGTCTGCGCCATGTGAATATTCGCGAATAACTCCCAGCTGCTATGCTTCCTCGTCGACCAAAAACTCTTTCCTAGAAGACCCTTCCCTTCCTTAGTCGCGTCGCCCTCCACCACGTGCGAATAGGAATGGGCCACGTGGATTGCCGTCACCGCGTCGCTCGCGTCGACGACTTGCCGGACGCCCGACGCGACCATCTCGTGCGTCAGCCAGTTGTCGTATTTGCCGCGTCCGAACATGAAAGGAGGCATAATTCCCGTGAAAAGCGGAAGCGGAGAGTTGTTCCAAGCCCAAAAGTCAACTCCACCATAGGTATGCAACGACCCGGTTTCCCGAACGAGCTTCTTAATCTCCTTCTCGATCGCGGCGCTGCTGCGTCCGCCGCCGCCGCCAGACGAAGCCCACATGGAAGGTTCGAACGAGTACGGAAAGTCCTCCTTCACGTCCCACCGCGCTGACGTCATCACCCAGTGCGGGAAGCTGCGGTGAATCTTCTCAATGGCAACCATGACGTCATTGAGGAGAATAATATCGCCGTTGATGATCATGGAGAGGTCCGTATCGGCGGCCTGTGCGCGCGCCACGATGCTGTGAAACTGCGGCACGCCGTAGAAATTGGTGTCGATCGCGTCGTCCACGGAAATGCGCGTCGGGAATTCCCGCGCGAGCGCGTGAAACGTCGTGTCGTTCCCGAGAAGGACAATTTTAGGAGCCGGAGTCAATCGCAGCCACGACAGCAGCGCGCGGCGCTGGTTGTCAACTGCGCGATCCTTAGGGCTCAGCACCGACTCGTACGGCTTCGGGGCGCAGAAGATCGTCAGCGAGGGAGCAGCGCCATCTGCGGCGCCTCTCGCGGCGCTACCTGCGCCGTCCCCGCCTCCAGAGCCTTTCGCCTCCTTGTTACGGTATAAGCTCTGACTCTTTTTGGCCAAAAGGAGGCCTTCCTGGAGCTCGCGCCGCTTGTGCATGGCGAGGGATGGAGATGCGACCACGATCGTGGCTAGGAACGCTAAGACGAAAAGTGACCGAAGCTTCATGGTGAACGAGATTAAAGCGCCTTTAGCGCGCATACGCGCGAAGGTCTCTCGCAGCTTGGAAATCCAAAAGGTGCTAACTTAAACCGGGCAACTGAGCCGAAAAAGGAGGATAAATAGAGCGCCGCGTGTGCTGTGTGAGCACAAGCGTTGTACGTACAGGTATATCAACTGCGCAATGGAGGGAACTTGAGGCAGCTCGTGTGCTTTGTGGGCTGGGCTGCAAGGCAAACACATCAACCCTAAGAACAAAGTTTTGTATCGGCTTCGTATCAGAAGGGGTGTGGGTGTTGGTGGGTTCCTAAATGTGCGGGCTGGCAGTCTCGTGCTCGTGCTGCTGACTCAGGGAGCGCCTAAGGAGAAATCAGACAGGTTTGGTGGACAGCGCATAGCGAGGTGGGAGCAAGGTGGGCTGAGTGGATGGGCTGGGCAATGTGCTACATAAGTTTTTTTCGGTTGTGTGCTTTCCCATACGGTAACAGCCAGGCTTTGCGCTGTACCGCTTTGCAGCGCAACACACCGCTTGAGGAATGCTGCGGGCGGGACTTTTCTTGGTTGCGGGAACTGAGGCGGGGCTAATTAGGCTCGGGCAAATCAGAACTGGGGCAATCGAGAAGCACCGGAGGGAGGGAAGCGAGGGAGAAGGTTGGGGGAGGCGGGGGGGTGAGGGGGGGAAGAGGTGGGGGAAAAGAAGGAACACCCGACTCGGTTCGGCACATGTGATGATGAGACCGCGTGCCGGTAACGTCGACCATCCGATGCTGTGGTGGTTGGTGAAGAAAAGCATTCGGCGGTCAGGATGTCTCGTTACAGGTGGTTGGCTTGCTTCCTGGCACACTGCATGAGGGGAGACTCGGGGGACAGGCATGGTGCAGCGCAAATCAAAGGAGCGTTACAACGCCCTTATCACACACCATGGTTTCCCGTGATAGGTAAATTCACCTTACGGGTGAGTCGGGGCAGGGCATCATATTCGAGTCACATTCAAAGTGGAAGCTGTACTGTATGTTACAAGGCTAGGTCAGAAAAAGAAAGGGATTGGCTGACGAGGAATTGCGGGCAGCTGCCAATGGGCAGATACAGCACTCCCCCCGATCTCCGCCCCAATCGACATCCTGAACTTTTGACTCCGATTCGTCCGATTCGTTCGGCAGGGGGGCGGTCAGCCACACCACGAGCCGAATAGAGAAGATGAGGGTAACGAGGTCAGAAAGAAACAGTTTTGGTTCGGCGACGCGCTGATGCATGTCAGGTAGGAATTCCCGCATCGCAGGGCTAAGCGAAACATTTTCGAAATTCGTTAAAACTGTTGAGGTGGAGCAGAGTCGGGGGAAATTTCAGGTCATCTGGGGCAACCAAATCGCAGATCCTTCAAGCAATATGATTCGGCAATTGACACGTCCAGCTGCATGACGGACCGCAGGTAAATTGTCTTCTGCGCTCATAAAGCATGTCTCGTACTTCGTACATTACAAGATGTGAGACAAATGGCGACACCAAACAACTCCTAGTTATCCAAGTTTCCTGGTTCAATTTGGCCCATCACTTGAGTGACAAGAGCCAGAGGCGCATGGCTACCGTACCACCTACGGTACTCTCACTTCATGCACCCATGGCTACCGTCAAGTACCTTCCGATGCCACAATTTTAGTGCTAACAACCATGATAAGTGGTAAGGTTCAACGGACATCAAGGAGAGCAAGAGAAGCATAGATACATCACATCAGCAATTACGAGACAGTAATACTAACATTGGTCTCATCCTGGCGGGCATTGCTAGCCCTAGGACTCAAAGCCTTCACCTTATCCCCATACTCCCTAGGCACCAGAAACACCAGGCAGTACGCCACACTAACAACACAAGCACCAATTATACTACCAACCCAATAAATCCAATGGTTCTCCCACACATTCGACCAGACAGCAGCGCCGAAGGAACGGGCTGGATTCATGGAGGCTCCCGTTAGAGGAACACCCACTATGTGATCCACAAGCACGGCAAAACCAATCAGCATCGGAGCGAGGTGGGACGGACCCTTGGGGTCGACAGCAGTAGCAAAGACTGCGTAGACTAGAATGGCTGTGAGAATGATTTCAGTGAGGACGCCTTGGCCTACAGAGACCCCGGCACCGAGCACGTGTGCACCAAGAGCGTCCTGCAGAGGAGACACACGGATGAGAGACAGAAAAATTGGTGTTAAGTTGCACAAAATCTGAAGACAAGGTTGGAAAGGAAATGGGGTGAAAGGGGAGGAGGGAAAGCGGGGAAGGGAGACAAGGGGATGGGGGGGTGGGGGGGTTAAGGGTGGGCAGGGGAAGGGAAGAGTTGTGCTGGGGTGTAGAGAGGGGGGAAAACCCAGTGAAGGGAATGACTGGGGTGGTCAGAAAGGGACTTACATGCGTACTGGCAGGAGTTATTGCCTTAACAAGACCAGCACCGAACACAGCGCCTATCAGCTGCGCTGCCACGTAGGCTGCTGCTGTGATGACGTCAACGAGGCCCACTGCTAGCATGCCAAGTGTGACAGCTGGATTGATGTGTCCCCCTGAAATCCCTGATGCAGCCCCCACAGCAACCACGAGAGCAAGACCGTGTGCGATGCCAATGGAGAGTATGCGGGTCACATCCAGTCCCTGAACGAATTCACCTGGAATTCAACAGAGAAAGAGAGAAACGGGAAAAAAGAATATTGGCCAACCATCTCAAGTTTCAGAAGTCTCAAAACGCAATGCGTATGGAGAGTATGCGGGTCACATCCAGAACCTGAACGAACTCACCTGAAGATCAACAGGAGAAAATGAGATGGGAGAGAAAACTAAGAACATCTGCCAGGTTCATCATGAAGCAAGCACCCAAAACTTTTCCAATTTTGTAAGGCCCAACTTCACACAGATTCTTGAACCAGACCAGATTGAAGTAAATCAACCATGGAAAGGGGAGAACACCAGCTTGAATTGAACTCACTTGAGACAGCCACTGACCCCACGCCAACGAAGATGAAGAACATGGTTCCAACCAGCTCCGCCGTTGCGGCACAGGCAAGGTGAACCAGGTTCGGCATGTGGGCTATATGGACGGAACTCGCACAAGAGCTGCTTTTTACTCACTTGAGACGGTCACTGACCCCACGCCAACGAAGACGAAGAACATGGTTCCGATCAGCTCTGCCGTGGCCGCGCAGGCAAGATGAACCAGGTTCGGCGGCTGAAGCCACTGCTTGAACTGAGGCATGATGCTGACGTCAGGTCGATCCGGAACAGATTACAATAATCCAATCGCTGGGTCGGTCAGAAGCGCGTCGGCCGCAGGTACTGAACCAGTCTCAACGAAACTGACTATGGAATTGGTTGAAATTGATTTATCTTCTAGACTGGATCAAAGAACAGCAGGAAGACCAGGAGATTAAGCACAACGGATAATGGTCTGGACGAGAGATTTTATACTTCTAAAGCTGCAATGACCCTCGCCGTGACGTTCGTCAGTCATCTCTGGTCACCGCGGCGGCACAAGTCCTTCTCAACCCCCCCCTCCCCGTTGCGCGTTGCAAATGCGTGCTTTCCACAGATCACCTCAAACCGGGCTGCCATCTGTGCGTGCGTCCCTCCCGGAACACGTCATTGTCTCCTGTTTCTCCGCCGCGGCTGAGAAACTACTAACACAACTTCCGCCGCCGCGACATGCGTCGTCAAAGACTCAAGTCAGCTTCGAGAGACCCGAACCAACGCGCGACGATAAGATAGCTCAAGCATGGCAACGTCACAAAATTTTCAATGAGCGAGCACGTGAGCAGTCGAGAAGATTCTCCCAATCGGAGGTCGTCATCGTCAATTGCCGGGCCGGTAACGTTGTCTCACGGCTGTAAGGTTCATTCGACTGCCAGCGTCAGTTGCAGAGGCTGTGAGACATCGAGCGCACGCGACGCGAGGCTTTGCCAGCACGACAGCGACCCGTCACGCTGGACTCTCCCATGCTTCTTCAGTCGACCTGAAAACATCGAAAGTGACTGACATACGTACGATCCTTGGACGATGCCATTCTCTTACACTGGACTTGAGGTAGAGAAGCCGAACAATGATAGTGACTGCCACGCTGGATCGTGCCATGTCATCACACAAAACCAAACCCGAACCTCCCCTGCTCTGCTGCGCAGCGAAGACTAGACAAGCGGGGACAAGCAGCCATGCTTGCATGCAACGGCATGCGCGGGATCATGCTACAGGACATGGATATGTAAATGAGCTAGATAGTCTCCACCTCAACACGAAGGTACCTCGATTTTGACGCCTGCCGTTAACGTCATGTCACGTCAACACAGGCTTTATATTAAACGTGCTTCTACGCAAACCAAAATACACCACAACAATACATAAATTCAGCAATGAATACTAAAACTAATGGAAATATAACAGCAATTTGTGCAACATAAAATAATATCATATTCCGACATATGTTCAGCGCGTCCTTTCATTGAGGCGGAGGCTGGCTCTCCAAACGTTCTGGCTTCCTTTTTAGAGTCGGCTTCGCTTGCGGTCGCAGCGGACCTCCCTGTCTCCTTGCACCACCAGCTCTCCTTTGCACTGGCCGAGCCTGCCCCGCACCCGAACCTGTCTGCCGAACCACAGGCCCAGATTGCCTCCACCACGTGGTCCACCCGAGCCTCTCCGTGGCCCCGAACCTCGCCTCTAATTCACCCGCACCACCACTATCACTCTCCCTCTCCCTTCCACCCTCCTCCCACTCATCCTCCTCTTCATCTAAACACCCCGCCACCAACACTGTATGCAGACTCGCCGATTCTGACTGCCCCGGAAAATCCGTGGTGAAATGCAATCCACGGCTCTCTCTCCTCCTCAGTGCGCTACGTACGACCAGAGACGCGACATTGATCAGATTCTCCATCTCGCACGTCTCCATTGAGACGGCGCCACGTGGCAGCAGCACATTGGTCTCCAGGTCAGCTCGCCAGGAGGACGCCAGCATGTCGATTTCCCTCTGGGCTATTCGGAGACGGTCGGTGGATCGGACAATGCCGACGTAGCGCCACATAATAGCCTGGGGATACAATGGTGGGTGGAAAATGGAGTGGTAAGGGAGACGAAGTCAAAGAAAACAAAGGGAAAGTTTGAGGAGGAAAAATAACTTCCATCCGTACACGAAGTCGATGAACGTGCCCCTCAGTCCATTAAAAAAAGATGCCTACCTATAGTAATGACGAATGCTCTTTCAAAAAGGCTCACCTTAAGTTGCTCCCTGTACTTGGCAGTCACTCCAGCAGCAGCAACCGCTCCTGAATCCCCCTTGCTCAACCCCACCACCTTCACCTCCTCCCCCTCCCCTTCCACCTCGCCCTCCCACTCCTCCCCCTTCCACATCGCCCCATCCATATCCCTCCCATCAGGCAACCCCGCAAGCACATGATTCAGCGGCGCAGCAGCCACCGCATGTTCAATTGCCGGCTCGACTGCTCTCTGCGCAAACACCAGCGCTTCCAGCAGCGAATTCGATGCCAGACGATTCGCCCCATGGAGACCCGTGCACGCCACCTCCCCCGCCGCCCACAACCCCCGGATCGAAGTCTCCCCAAACAGCCCCGTTTGGACCCCCCCGCACATGTAATGCGCGGCGGGGACAACTGGGATCGGGTCCTTGGTAATATCCACCCCCCACCGCTTGCATTCTGCCGCGATGTTCGGGAAGTGCCGGAGGATCTCGTCCGTCGGTTTGTGGCTGATGTCGAGATAGACGAACAGATCGCCGCGGCGCTTCAGCTGGTCGTCAATGGACCGGGCGACCACGTCGCGAGGGGCGAGCTCTGCCCGCGGGTCATAGTGAAGCATGAAGCGCTCTCCCGCTTGGTTGTACAGCAGCCCGCCTGCCCCTCGAACAGCTTCGGAAATGAGGAAGGAGTTGGGGCGCGGCCCTGGGGGTTGGATGGGCAGACCCGCGTCCGCAAGGGCTGTTGGATGGAACTGGATGAACCTGAAGGAGGGGGGATGGAGGAGAGCGGAAAGAGGAGAGAGAGGAGTGAGTTGAGCCCGTGGGCGACCACGTCCTGGGGAGTGAGCTCTGCCCGCGGGTCGTAGTGCAGCATGAAGCGCTCGCCGGCTTGGTTGTACAGCAGCCCGCCTGCTCCCCTCACGGCCTCGGAAATCAGGAAGGAGTTGGGGCGCGGGCCGGGCGGGTGGATGGGCAGACCCGCGTCTGCCAAGGCTGTTGGGTGAAACTGGATGAACCTGAAGGGGGAAGGGTGGGGGTGGGGTGAAAACAAGGGGAGGGGGATGAGGGTGTTGCGAAGGGCATGGAGTGGGGGAGGGGCATGACAGCACTGAGTGGGGGGAGCGCAGAGGAAAGGCAGGAAAATTGGGGGGAGAGGGGGATGGGGAAGACCCAGAGGAAGAGGAAGTGGACTCACTCCATGTTTGAGATGACAGCGCCTGCACGCAAAGCCAGAGCTACACCGTCCCCAGTTGCCACCTGCACACACACATACACACATATGCATAGGCGGTGAGACACTGGGAGACAGAAACTGAAGCATCTTGAGAACAGTAACATGTGCAGGCGAGACATGAACCGGTTCCAAACATGGAGGTGCCAAAAAAACAATCTTCGTACCGTGGGGTTGGTGGTGTTGGGGTACACGTGGCCTGCCCCCCCTGTAGCGAGCAGTGTGGATCCCGCTATAAAGCGGATGATCTGCCCCGTCTCCGTGTCCAGCGCCTCCACGCCGTAGCACCTGCTCTGCCTGCCGTCCTCCTGCAGGGGTGGTGAAAGGGGGAGGGTAGGGAAGAGGGAAGCGTGGGGAAAGAGTGGGGTTACTGATGCTCGAGCTTCTTCAAGCATAATCTGCCCCGTCTCTCTGTCCAATGCCTCCACGCCATAGCACGTGCTCTGCCCGCCGTCCTCCTGCAGTGGTGATAAAGGGAGGGGGGGGGGGGGGGTGTGGTGGGAGCGTGGGGAAATAGCGGAGAGATTGATACTCAGTCGATCTGCCCTGTCTATTCGTCCAGTGCCGTGCCTCCACGTCATAACACGTGCTCTTCTACAAGGGTTGAAAAAAGGGGTGAGCGAGACCGACAAAGGGCCCCAGGCAACAAATTGAGACACAAATGGGCTGTGGGGAATGAGGAGAAGTTTGGCTCAGTGGAATGATGTCAAGCCGCATGCCCGCCTCTGCAGCTGCCTCTGGCGCTGCTTCAGGCGCTGTGTCTGGTGCTGCTTCAGGCGCTGTGTCTGGTGCTGCTTCAGGCGCTGTGTCTGGTGCTGCTTCAGGCGCTGTGTCTGGTGCTGCTTCAGGCGCTGTGTCTGGTGCTGCTTCAGGCGCTGTGTCTGGTGCTGCTTCAGGCGCTGTGTCTGGTGCTGCTTCAGGCGCTGTGTCTGGTGCTGCTTCTGGCGCTTCTTCTGCCCTACACCTGCCGCTGCCTCTGCCTCAGCCCTACATTGCCCCTAACCCTAATAGAAAAGGGCTTCTCTGCTCCTCTGTGTGGCCCACTCCAATATCCCCATCCCGTCTCCCTCCCCTCTCTTCGCCTCGACGTCTCCTCCTCTCTCCCTTCTACGCCTCTCTCACCTGCCACGTCAGCAGGTCGATCGCCATGTGGTGTTCAAACATATCGATCCACTTCGTCTTCAAGTTCTGAGACATCTAAGCACTCGCCGTCACTCCCCTGCCCTCCTCTACGCTCTCTATTCCTCTCTATCTCTTCATTACTCCTCCCTACTCCTCTCTATTCCTCTCCACGCCTCTCTCACCTGTCGCGTGAGAAGGTCGATCGCCATGTGGTGTTCAAACATGTCGATCCGCTTCGTCTTCTGCGCGGCCGTCAGCAGCGCGCGCTGAATCTCCCGCCCGGTCACGTCCGCCGCGTGAACGATCCGCGAGTGCGAGTGCCCCCCCTCGCGCGCAAGCAGCAGCCGCCCGTCATCCCCGCGGTCGAAGCTTGCGCCCATGCGCATCAGCTCGCGAACGCGCTCCGGGCCCTCGCGGCAAACCACCTCCACGACTTCCACGTCATTTAAATACGCGCCCGCCACGATCGTATCCGAGATATGATTCTCGATCGAATCTAGCGGATCGAGGACCGCGCTCACGCCGCCCTGCGCGTAGTTCGTGCTGCCCTCCTGCGGCTCGGCTTTCGTCACCACCGCTACAGTGCCCTTCGCCGCGACGCCTAGCGCGAATCGGAGGCCGGCAATGCCGCTCCCAATAACCACGTAGTCGTATAGCTTGGTCTCCGGTGGGGGGACTTCCGCCGCTCCCGCGCCTGCTTGCGCTTCCGCGCGCACACGAGTGCGGCCCGCCAGTGCTTCCGCTGAGAGGGATGGGCGCGGGGAAGCGGCACGCGGGGCGCTGAGGGCATCCGCGCAAGGAGCCAGCCAGAGGCGCTTGGCTTGCAGTGGGACGGGGAGTGCTGACGTGGCAACAGCTGCAGTACCGGAAGTAGCGCAGCTTGGCTGTATGAGGAAGGGGAAAGGTATGGGAGAATGGGGGGAAGCGAGGAGGGGTGGAGGAAGAAGGGGGTGCGGGGAGGGAAAGATGGGGTTGGGGGACGAGAAAGAAGAAGGTGAGGAAGGAGAAACAGGCGAGGGTACTTTCATTCCTCGTCTCTTAAATCCGTTATGTGAGAGCTGGAGGTATGCATGTAGCGTCCTCTGGTATAGCCTCCAAACAACACTTGATGACAAAGTGAAAATATTGTCAGAGGCAAATCCAAAAAGGGGGTCCATTTCACACAAGTGTTAACCACGATTGTCTTTTCTCGAATGCCAGCCAATAGCACGTACCCGAAAAGCATCGTCATTGCGACGAGTGATCCGCCATTGCTGGGACCTCCTTCCATGCTTGGACCGGCGATCTTGCGCTGCAGCCTGGAAAAACAAAACCACATACACAAAGGATGTGTGAGCAGATTTATTTTTTGGATCAGCCGTTTCTTTGTTTCTTTAAAAACCCACTTGGTTATAGTAGCAGAAGCTCTTTCACCGACTTAACAATACTTGATATCAAGTTATAGGCTAATATAAAGAAAAAGAGGGAAATGTACTAGCGGAATCTCGTACCTTCCATACCTAGTAAATGCTGGTCACTAACGGGGAGCATCGACGCAGAGCTAACGCATGTCAGAAAGAGATACCCGCGGATCCAATCCGAGCAAGCCACATTGACCAGAAAGCTAGTGTGCGACACGCATATCCCTTTCTGATCGATTTCAATCCCTACGACCAGCAACCTAACGCGCTTTATGCACATCCTTTTCTGTTCGATTTCAATCCCTCTGACCAGCAAGCTAGCCTGCTATCACCAAGTTTCGACTTCAATCTCTATGCGAGCTCTGGACTGCCTGTCGGAAAAGCACGCACCTGGTGCAAGGAGCACACGGACGGTCCAGTCGCTGCGAGAGCCTCCATGGTTCTCACGTGACCCGGCTGCAAACTAGCTCGAAGGTAGCCTGGTCTAAACCTAGCTCACAGCGAGACCAGTACACAGCAGATTTGACCCCTGACCAGGACTCTGAAGCAATCCCAAGCTAAATACTGTAGAACAGTTGTGATTTCAAGGCCAGAGCATGTCTGTAAACCCGAGGTCTCCTGAACCTGTTCCCGAGGAGCATGGAAGGCAAAAGCGTGAAGCGGCTTGGACGATGCCGAGATATATTGGGCTGGGGAGCCATTGGGCAGCCAGCCGCAGTCCAATCAGCCGCATGCAAGCTGAGCCAGTTGAGCCACAACACCAGCAATTCTATAAGAGCCACGTTTACCGAATTGGAAGGGGTTATCTTCGGAATTCAAACGTTTATTTCGAAGCTTCAAGAGTGAGTTTTAGCCAAGCAATGCCACTACGTTTCGCCACGGGCTTGTGGCTTGGGTGACGTGTGGTGGTCGTCAAGCGTTTCTGGCGGGGATTCGTCAGCTTCAGGAGAAGGTGGTTGTTGCAACCAATTTTGATGGATTGCGTGGCGCACGCTAAATGGGCGATGACCCAGAAGCTTCGGAAAGTGGATTTGATGGCGGGGCCTTGTCGAAGCTCGTCCATCCGTCAGATCGTGGAGGAGGTGGGCAGAAGGGGAGAGCATGATCAAGGACACAAATGCAGGGTAGACTTGAGGTAAAAATCCGTTCCTTCTCTGGGCAGGTTTTTGTGGCGGTTGACCAATCCGCACGCTGCATAGCCTGAGATCGGGCACCTGAATTTGAATGCGGTGTGCGCTGGCAGCTCCTGGTTCTTCGGAAAATGTAGATGCGCCACAGCCAGTCAGTGAATCCAACGGGCCACCAAACAGTGTCTCCTGCATTTCCCGCCATCCTTCGCATCTGAAATGGATGGAACCGTGGTGTACAAGGTTAAATATTCAGAATAATCTGAGGCACGAAACGGAAGCATCGGTATTGAAATAAGGAGTGGCTGGGCCTGCCTCGGCGGATGTGCTCACTGTAGAAAGTTATCAAATGAAAAAAAAAACTCAATGATTGCCGGACACAAAATTCTTAGTGCTTGTTCTCTCTTTCCCCAAACTTTTACGGGTAAAGCATACAGACACGCTGTGCGTAATCATGCGACACTTGATTAATCACCCTGCCTAGGCTTACCCTCGTCCTCCCTTACCCTTCCCCTTGCCTTTTGCCCCACCCTTCATCCTCTTCTTCCCCCCCTCACCACCACCATCCAAATTCCCATCCCCACCACCACCCCTCTTCTTTCCTCCTCCCTGTGCCTTGATACTCAGCACACCGCTTCCTGGAAGCTTCCCCCCTCCTGCAGCAATCGCAGCCTCAAAGTCTTGATCTCGGCCGTCGATCGCAAACTCCTGCATCTGTCCAGGTGTCAGTGACGTCAGCAGGGTGGCTGTGCCAGGCTCTGCCGCCCCCTCCAGCCGGGATTTGATCACCTTCTGTTACAGGGGCAACAGTCATAGCAAAAAAATATCATGTTTACATAGTGCAATAACCACAGCCCTCGGCACTGCAGCTAAAGAGTTAAAATTGCTTCGACATGGATATAGTGAGGTGGCAAATGAAAGAAACAAGTCTATCTCTCGACTGACTCACCTTGGCCTGATCTGCTGCCTCTGCAAGATCCTCATCCACTGACTGGGGGTGGGGGCGCAGGTCCACCTGGTGGGGATAAGACAGGCCCGGGAAGAGGGGAGAGGAGAGGAAGGGGAGAGGAAGGGGAAGAGGGGAGGTGGGGGACGGAGGACAGGGGCAATGGAGGGGAAGGCTGACTCGCTGCCTCTGCCAGGTCTTCATCCACTGACTGGGGGTGCGGGCGCAGGTCCACCTGGTGGGGAGGAGAGAACGGAGAGGCAGTGGAGAGGCAGAGGAGGGAAGGGGAGGGGGCAGAGGACAGGAGCTCAGCAGAGCAAAAGGCTGACTTGCTGCCTCTGCCAGGACCTCATCCACTGACTGGAGGTGGGGATGCAGGTCCACCTGGTGGGGAGGGGAGAGGCGGGGGAGAGGCAGGTTGAGTCGGGGGAGAGGCAGGTTGAGTCGGGGGAGAGGCAGGGTAGAGGACGGCGAACAAGATAGGTGGGGGACGAAGGAAAATGGAGGGGAAGGCTGACATACAGCAGGGGAGTAGCAGTAGAGCAGCAGAGAGATACAGCACGTGTTTTGAGTCGACTCAAAACACGAGGGATACAGCACTGACGTACCTCCTTGATCCTGGGCAGAGCAGCCTCTATGGTGCGCGCAGCAGCAGCGTACAGAACACTGTGAATCTTCCGAATCGCCTTGTTGAACAGGGCAAGAACTTGCGTCCCGGGCAGCCGAAGGTTCGCCTGTTTGAGATTTGGCCAGAGGAATGAGGAAGTGAGCGAGTGGGAAGAATAAAAGCTCGCCCGTTTATGACAATGCAGATGAAAGGTGGTCATTACCAAAAAAAAAACAAAAAAAGCCACACAAATCGCTACAGGCGTAACAGAATGACATTCGTGGGTGTGCTACAGCCAGCTTGCTACAGCCAATATACGCTACAGCCGTACCTCAATGGTGGAGAGCTCGTGATGCTGTAGACCGAAGGAGAGCAGAATGGCAGCTTGGGCATAGGAGAGCGATGCAGGGATGAGACCCAGGAAGTATAGGCGGGCAAGTGGGGGAATGAGGTCCATGATCTGATTGGGAGAGGAGAAGGGGGGGAGAGGAGGGGAAAAGCGGGAGAGTGAAGAAGGGATGAGAATGAGGAAGTAGAAGCGGGCTAGAAAGGGAATAAGGTCCATGATCTGATTTGGGGAAAGCAACCAGGGGGTGGTGACATGGAAGGTTGGGAGGAGTGGGTACGGGGGAAGGAAACTTGCATTGCTTTGAGTGAAGTGCAAGTGAAAATTGCACGAGAGCGACTTGTAATGTCAGGGGTGCTCCTAGTAAAGCATCATTACCAGGTGATAATCAACCAGGTTGTTGTTGGCGTCCGACGCGAGTCGCTTCATATCGTATGGCGACAGCAGCGCATGTTCAACCATCTAGGGTGTTACCAGCAGGGCATCCTTACCAGGGCGTGGGCTCTGGAATGTTACAACCTACCAGGTGATAATCGACCAGGTTGTTGGCGTACGATTCCAATCGCTTCATATCATACGGAGACAGCAGTGCCGCCTTCCCCTCCATCAGCCCTGCTGGGATGACTGCTTCCCGTGCCTCTGCCTCTGCAAACTCAATCTGCGGATCCAGAATGCTGGTGAGTGGAGGGAAGGAGGAATGGGGGGAGAGAAGCGAGAAATAGCAAGAAGTGTATTGAGTTTTAAGATGGCTCGAAACATGTCTTCCCTTCCCTTTCCCTCCATCAGCCCTGCCAGCACAGCACAGCTCCCTCCCGTGCCTCTGCCAAGAGCTGGTTTTTGAGAATTCTCAAAAACTGCCTCTGCCTCTGCAACCTCAAACTGTGGGTCCAGAATGCTGGTGAATGGGGGTCGGTGGTGGGGGAGCAGAGGGGAAGGGAGGGGTAGGAGGCGAGAACACCCAGTTCTGAGATCCAAGCTTGCCTTCCCTTCCCTTTCCCTCCATCAGCCCTGCCAGCACAGCTCCCTCCCGTGCCTCTGCCTCTGCAACCTCAATCTGTGGGTCCAGAATGCTGGTGAATGGGTGAGGGGAGGGGAGGGGAAGAGGGGGGGGGGAAGCGAGGGAGGGGTGGATGGGACATGGCAGGCAGAAAGCAAGCACGCTGCAATATGCGGGTCACACAGGGAGATAGAAAGAGAGCGGTGAGAGGGACAGAAGGGTAGAGAGTGTTGGGGCGTGCACTCTGCACCTGAGGCAGAGGGCGGGCGGCAGGGGCCTGAAGGAAAAGAGGCAATTTTCCTCTCCTCATTCAGGCAAGAGAGAGAGGCATATACGATGGGCTGGGGAGAGAGAAAAAAAGAGTGTGCAGCGTACCTGAGGCAGAGGGCGGGCGGCAGGGGCCTGAAGGAAAAGAGGCAATTTTCCTCTCCTCATTCAGGCAAGAGAGAGAGGCATATACGATGGGCTGGGGAGAGAGAAAAAAAGAGTGTGCAGCGTACCTGAGGCAGAGGGCGGGCGGCAGGGGCCTGAAGGAAAAGAGGCAATTTTCCTCTCCTCATTCAGGCAAGAGAGAGAGGCATATACGATGGGCTGGGGAGAGAGAAAAAAAGAGTGTGCAGCGTACCTGAGGCAGAGGGCGGGCGGCAGGGGCCTGAAGGAAAAGAGGCAATTTTCCTCTCCTCATTCAGGCAAGAGAGAGGCATATACGATGGGCTGGGGAGAGAGAAAAAAAGAGTGTGCAGCGTACCTGAGGCAGAGGGCGGGCGGCAGGGGCCTGAAGGAGAAACCGAGGAGAGACAGGAAGCGACGGTGGAAGTCTGGTGGGTGGGGGGTGGGAGACAAGGAAGAGGAGGTGAATTGGAAAGAGGACATCAGACTCAGTCATTGGCTCCCTCACCCTAAACACACACACTCACTCACGCACTCACTCACTCACTCACTCACTCACTCGCTCGCTCACTCATTCACTCGCTCACTCACTCACTCACCCCCAGAAGTCCCCCAACCAACCTTGAGAGAAGGAGCCAAGCCACGAGTCCTTGGAGTCTGCTGGGCCCAAGTCGTCATTCCGAAGGGGCTTGAGCATGATGCACGCACGTGTGCTCGCCCCCACAACCCACCAAACCTCAATCCCAGAGCCCACCAACCTTGAGAGAAGGATGCAAGCCACGAGTCCTTGGCGTCAGCCGCACCCAAGTCCTCGTTCCGGAGGGGCTTGAGCATGATGCACGTGTGCTCTCCTGTGATGTCGCTCTGTGGTGAGGGAAGGAAGGCACGAGGGGAGAGGGTGGGAGGGAGGAGAGGAGAAACACAGGACGATAAGAAGCAGTATAGCCCGCCCAAGCCATTGTTCCGGAGAGCCTTGAGCATGATGCACGTGTGCTCTCCTGTGATGTCCCTCTGGTGTGAGCAGGGGAAGAAGGGAATAGAGGAGAAGAGGAGAAGCAGAGCAGAGGACAATCAAGAGGCTCTAGGGCCCCAGCCATCACCCGGAAGGGCTTGAGCATGATGCACGTGTGCTCTCCTGTGATGTCAGTTGTTGCCGGCGCCAGAAGTCGAGCTTTGAGTCGACTCAAAACTCGACTCTGACATCACAGGAGAGTTGTTGCCGGCGCCAGAAGTCGAGCTTTGAGTCGACTCAAAACTCGACTCTGACATCACAGGAGAGTTGTTGCCGGCGCCAGAAGTCGAGCTTTGAGTGAGTCGACTCAAAACTCGACTCTGACATCACAGGAGAGTTGTTGCCGGCGCCAGAAGTCGAGCTTTGAGTCGACTCAAAACTCGACTCTGACATCACAGGAGAGTTGTTGCCGGCGCCAGAAGTCGAGCTTTGAGTCGACTCAAAACTCGACTCTGACTTCACAGGAGAGTTGTTGCCGGCGCCAGAAGTCGAGCTTTGAGTCGACTCAAAACTCGACTCTGACATCACAGGAGAGTTGTTGCCGGCGCCAGAAGTCGAGCTTTGAGTCGACTCAAAACTCGACTCTGACATCACAGGAGAGTTGTTGCCGGCGCCAGAAGTCGAGCTTTGAGTCGACTCAAAACTCGACTCTGACATCACAGGAGAGTTGTTGCCGGCGCCAGAAGTCGAGCTTTGAGTCGACTCAAAACTCGACTCTGACTTCACAGGAGAGTTGTTGCCGGCGCCAGAAGTCGAGCTTTGAGTCGACTCAAAACTCGACTCTGACATCACAGGAGAGTTGTTGCCGGCGCCAGAAGTCGAGCTTTGAGTCGACTCAAAACTCGACTCTGACATCACAGGAGAGTTGTTGCCGGCGCCAGAAGTCGAGCTTTGAGTCGACTCAAAACTCGACTCTGACATCACAGGAGAGTTGTTGCCGGCGCCAGAAGTCGAGCTTTGAGTCGACTCAAAACTCGACTCTGACATCACAGGAGAGTTGTTGCCGGCGCCAGAAGTCGAGCTTTGAGTCGACTCAAAACTCGACTCTGACATCACAGGAGAGTTGTTGCCGGCGCCAGAAGTCGAGCTTTGAGTCGACTCAAAACTCGACTCTGACATCACAGGAGAGTTGTTGCCGGCGCCAGAAGTCGAGCTTTGAGTCGACTCAAAACTCGACTCTGACATCACAGGAGAGTTGTTGCCGGCGCCAGAAGTTGAGCTTTGAGTCGACTCAAAACTCGACTCTGACATCACAGGAGAGTTGTTGCCGGCGCCAGAAGTCGAGCTTTGAGTCGACTCAAAACTCGACTCTGACATCACAGGAGAGTTGTTGCCGGCGCCAGAAGTCGAGCTTTGAGTCGACTCAAAACTCGACTCTGACATCACAGGAGAGTTGTTGCCGGCGCCAGAAGTCGAGCTTTGAGTCGACTCAAAACTCGACTCTGACTTCACAGGAGAGTTGTTGCCGGCGCCAGAAGTCGAGCTTTGAGTCGACTCAAAACTCGACTCTGACATCACAGGAGAGTTGTTGCCGGCGCCAGAAGTCGAGCTTTGAGTCGACTCAAAACTCGACTCTGACATCACAGGAGAGTTGTTGCCGGCGCCAGAAGTCGAGCTTTGAGTCGACTCAAAACTCGACTCTGACATCACAGGAGAGTTGTTGCCGGCGCCAGAAGTCGAGCTTTGAGTCGACTCAAAACTCGACTCTGACATCACAGGAGAGTTGTTGCCGGCGCCAGAAGTCGAGCTTTGAGTCGACTCAAAACTCGACTCTGACTTCACAGGAGAGTTGTTGCCGGCGCCAGAAGTCGAGCTTTGAGTCGACTCAAAACTCGACTCTGACATCACAGGAGAGTTGTTGCCGGCGCCAGAAGTCGAGCTTTGAGTCGACTCAAAACTCGACTCTGACATCACAGGAGAGTTGTTGCCGGCGCCAGAAGTCGAGCTTTGAGTCGACTCAAAACTCGACTCTGACATCACAGGAGAATTGTTGCCGGCGCCAGAAGTTGAAGAGCTGCTGCTCCAGCCCAAACGACACGCCCACATAGTACAGCTTCTCCTGCCGCACTGTGCCGTGTGGTGCTGTGCGGTGCGGCGCGATGCTGTGCGTGCGGTCCTGTAGTACTTGCTCACCGGTGTCTGTCTGACATAGAGCGGCACGAACTGCTGCCTCCGCCAGAAGTTGAAGAGCTGCTGCCCCAGCCCAAACGACACTCCCACGTAGTGCAGCTGCTCCTGCCCATGGCGCTGTGCGACGCTGAGTGGTGAAGTGCAGTGCAGTGCGGTACTGTGCGGCTTACAGGGGTTTGCCTGACATAGAGCGGAACGAACGCCTGCCGGCGCCAGAAGTTGAAGAGCTGCTGCCCCAGCCCAAACGACACGCCCACGTAGTGCAGCTGCTCCTGCCCATGGCGCTGTGCGACGCTGAGTGGTGAAGTGCAGTGCAGTGCGGTACTGTGCGGCTTACAGGGGTTTGCCTGACATAGAGCGGAACGAACGCCTGCCGGCGCCAGAAGTTGAAGAGCTGCTGCCCCAGCCCAAACGACACGCCCACGTAGTGCAGCTGCTCCTGCCGCCTCTCCCCCACCGGCTGCAGCAGCGGCGGCAGTCCCGAGCGTGGAGCCAATTGCTCCTCCAACAATGATCCCTGGGGGAAAGAGGGTGGAGGGAGTAGGGCGGTGGGGTTGGGGAGTAGGGCGATGGGGCCACTTGAGTCAACTCTCCCCCTCATTAGCTGTAGCAGTGGTGGCAGGCCCGAGCGCGGCGACAACTGCTCCTCCAGAAGTGACGCCTGGGGAGGTGAAGGGAGGGGGGAGGTTGGGGGCTGGCGAGTAGCAGGGGGGTGACAGGGGGAGTAGCAGGGGGGTGACAGGGGGAGTAGCAGGGGGGTGACAGGGGGAGTAGCAGGGGGGTGACAGGGGGAGTAGCAGGGGGGTGACAGGGGGAGTAGCAGGGGGGTGACAGGGGGAGTAGCAGGGGGGTGACAGGGGGAGTAGCAGGGTTAACAACAATTCGGATAAACACCCACACTCAAGCAATCAAAGCAATCCAATCCAAGCAGTGCACCCAACCCGCCAAACTATACGACACGAATCCAAGCACGGGGAATGTCACAGAAGAAAACAGAAGGTATTGGCATCACAAAATGCGTCTTCCGCATTGGACGATCATTCGAGAAATCATATTCATAAGAATCGACAGCGATTACCATACCAAACCAACCAATACCCTGTACCGTACCGATCCATTCTCCCGAGCCTCTTGAACAGCCTTGGAGTGTCGCTTCCCGCCTTCCTCTTCCTCCTCGCTCTCCTCCTCGCTATCCTCTCCCATGCTCGTCAACTGCCCCTCATAGTACCTGCAAACACCAACACAAGTGAGGAATGAAAGAGAAAAAACTTTGAGGCGCCTCTAAGAGAGTCATTCCCCTTTCTCTACCTTGTTGCTCTCTCCCCCTCGCTCTCCTCCTCGCTCTCCTCCCCCATGCTTGTCAACTGACCCTCATAGTACCTGTGCGCACCGAGACATGAGAAATATCATCAACACCAGATAGGTAACTTAAGAATGTAGAAAACATGACTCAGAGAGGAGGCTGAGATGGCCTGGAGGCTGGAGGCATGACTTGGATGCGGATCAACGGCTCAGATTGCATCATCACCTGGACAGCAGATCAACGGCTCTGGATCCGTATCCCGCGTGCATCAGGTCGGGATGAACGGCGATCCGGACCACCCGAGCGCCAGAGAGGGAGGGGAACTCGGAGTCCTGGAACTGCTGGGAGAGCGTCCAGGGCAGCAGATCGCCTGTGGGCTGATGTCCCTGAGAGAGGCCTTTCAATGCCGATGCCCTTGATATTTCTCCCTCTAGACACACCTGGCACGGAGGGCAGAGGGATGCGTGGAGAGAGGAAATCGAAAAGAGCATTGAGCAGAGAGGAAAGAGCAGTGAGGAGCGGAGAGAGGAGAGAGAGAGAGGGGAAGTGGGTGGGAGTCCTGGAACTGCTGGGAAAACGTCCAGGGGAACTGATCGCCCGTGGGCTGATGACCCTGGGAGAGGCCCTTGAGCGCTGATGCCCTTGATATCTCCCCCTCTAGACACACCTGGTGCGGAGAGCAGGGAGGGGGAAAGAGTGGGGAGAGAGGGGAGAGGGGAGGGAAGAGTGGAAAGAGGTGAGAGGAGAGAGGAGAGAGGCGATAGGAGAAGAGAGAAGAGGGAGGAGGGAATAGAACCGAGTGATCAGAAAGTAATGGGAAGACGGAGAGGGAGGGCGGGTGAGAGAGAGAGGCAAGTGCATGTGACAGGATAAATCCCTCCAAGGTCGATTCTGGTCTGTTAAAACCAGACTTCAAGGTGTCTGCTGCTCTGCACTTCAGGTCTCTTTCTTTGGCTGTACCCTCATCACCTACCCCTGAAGGCTCAAGGTTGCTATGAGTCATGTTAGAGAGGCTTACCTGTAGCACACACAGCACATCAGGCAGAGATGTTTGGGACTCGTCCACTGGGCCTGCAAAAGCACAGGGATGGAGAGTGGATAGCAGAGAGAGAAGGACAGAAGGGGGTTTGTGAATGTCAGTCTGGTTTGGGAATGAAGCGTGTTAGGAAGGACCAGACTTCCCTAAAGCGACAAGCGAATGTCAGGCCCAGGAGCGGGACCGAATAAGCGTGTGAGAACAAGAGGTGCGAGAGAGAAAGTCAGGGGGGTGGAAGAGAGAAGGGAGACGGGAGTATTGCAAAGTTCTTCCGAGCACGCACGCTCTAGTTCTTCTCAATCTCAAAGCCCGTCGCACGCTCTAGTGTGAGACGGGCTTTGAGATTGAGACGACTCGCAGCTCCGTGAACAGGATCATTTCCTCAAAAGTTTCCTCGAGCTGGAATGCTTGCTGTGTACGCCTTCATAGCAGGAGGTGACTTTTTAAGTCGACTCAAAAGACGTCTCGCAGCTCCGTGAAGAGGATCATTTCCTCGAGAGTATCCTCGAGCTGGAATGCTATGTGCGCCTTCATAGCAGGAGGTGTTGCAGAGTATTTTTGAGAATTCTCAAAAATACTTTTAAGTCGACTCAAAAGACGTCTCGCAGCTCCGTGAAGAGGATCATTTCCTCCTAAAGTTTCCTTGAGCTGGAATGCTATGTGCGCTGTTATAGCAGGAGGCGAGGCGTACCCAGAAGGACGAAAAGGTGGTGGGCTGGTGCATCGGACATGAGCTGCAGGTCGTTTGGAGTGTTCTTGTAGTGAGAGGACACGTATAGCGCCATCATCCTCTGTCACACATACCACACAAAGATCCAAAAGAGAGAAAGGAGAGGGGGCGAGGCAGGGTGTGCAAGGAAATGTTAGCTTCTGTAAACCAGGCCCGGAATTGACATGGGCAAGAGTGACATGGGCAAGAAGGTCATGGAAAAAGTTGACTTTTAAGTTGACTTAAAGCCAGGATCTCAAGTAGTTTGGCTGTTTTGCAGTTAGTGAATTGTGTTAGGCTGTGATTGGTTGACGAGGTAGAGTAGTTGACGAGAGCTGAAACGAGGGATGCGAAGCAAACAAAAATCGCAGTGAACTTCCGAACCAACTAGGCACGGAAATCTGGTTGGGTTCCGAAGCTCATTTCCCAGCAATGTGTCTCACTTGCCGAAAAATCTCATGTACAGCAATTTGTTTTGCAATTGAGATTCACGGGCAAATCGGGGATCAGTCGCACACTGAACCTCCAAGCCAACCACTCGATTTCGCCTAAACAAACAGGGTGACTCGAGCTGCAAGTGTTTTGCAATTGAAGCCAATTTCTCTTACTTGAGATCCTGGCTTTAAGAGTTGACTCAAAACCCATCCCGAAGAGTAGCCGGTTCATCACAGGACTTACAGACCTGAACGGAATCCTTGTCTCAGACCGAAACACGAAACAGGATCAAGACTTCACTGAGTGACCAAAAGGAAAAAAAAAAGTGTTGGAAGAGAAGCACCTGAAGGGAGAGAAGCACCTGAAGGAAGAGAAGCACCTGAAGGAAGAGAAGCACCTGAAGGGAGAGAAGCACCTGAAGGAAGAGAAGCACCTGAAGGAAGAGAAGCACCTGAAGGAAGAGAAGCACCTGAAGGGAGAGAAGCACCTGAAGGAAGAGAAGCACCTGAAGGAAGAGAAGCACCTGAAGGAAGAGAGAAGCACCTGAAGGGAGAGAAGCACCTGAAGGAAGAGAAGCACCTGAAGGAAGAGAAGCACCTGAAGGAAGAGAAGCACCTGAAGGAAGAGAAGCACCTGAAGGGAGAGAAGCACCTGAAGGAAGAGAAGCACCTGAAGGAAGAGAAGCACCTGAAGGGAGAGAAGCACCTGAAGGAAGAGAAGCACCTGAAGGAAGAGAAGCACCTGAAGGAAGAGAAGCACCTGAAGGAAGAGCTCTGAGGCGGAGTGGAAGGAGAAGAGCGTGTCTCGGTTGACGTAGAACAGCTCACACTCGTCTGGATGCGGCATGCTGGCAGGTTGGGGGGAACAGGGTACACGTGGGGGGGGGGGCACGGTTGAGTGAGGGAACGGGAGCAGGGGAGCAGCAGGGGTGGAAGGAGAAGAGCGTGTCTCGGTTGACGTAGAACAATTCACACTCGTCTGGGTGCGGCATGCTGGGAGGTGGAGAGGGGGTGAGGTGAGGGTGGGGGAAAAACAGCAGGAGAGCAGCAAGGAGTGAAAGGAGAGGAGAAGAGCGTGTCTCGGTTGACGTAGAACAATCCACACTCGTCTGGGTGCGGCATGCTGCGAGAAAACATTGCGCTTGTGGGAAGGGCAACGTGGGGGAATCAGGTGGGGAAATGGGGACGAGCGGGTTGAGAGCAGGGGAGCAGCAAGGAGTGGAAGGAGAGTGTCTCAATTGACGTAGAACAGCTCGCACTCGTCTGGGCTGGGTGCGGCATCCTGCGAGAAAACAGTGCGCAGAAAAAACAGTTTCGACCTGGATCCAACAGGTAATTCGTCCTAATCTCGTCCTAATGTCGTCCTAATCTCGTCCTAATCTCGTCCTAATCTTGTCCTAATCTCTTCCTAATCTCTTCCTAATCTCCTCACTCGTCTGGGTGCGGCATCCTGCGAGAAAACAGTGCGCATGTGGGACGGGCAACGGTGGTTTTGAGGCGCCTCAAAACGAGAGTGTCTCAATTGACGTAGAACAGCTCGCACTCGTCTGGGTGCGGCATCCTGCGAGAAAACAGTGTGCATGTGGGACGGGCAACGGTGGTTTTGAGGCGCCTCAAAACGAGAGTGTCTCAATTGACGTAGAACAGCTCGCACTCGTCTGGGTGCGGCATCCTGCGAGAAAACAGTGCGCATGTGGGACGGGCAACGGTGGTTTTGAGGCGCCTCAAAACGAGAGTGTCTCAATTGACGTAGAACAGCTCGCACTCGTCTGGGTGCGGCATCCTGCGAGAAAACAGTGCGCATGTGGGACGGGCAACGGTGGGGAAAGGAAGGGAGTGGAAGGGGAGCAGACACGTCTGGGACTGCAGGTCTGAAATTCACCAAGCCTAAGTTCTTACCAAGCCCGTGGATTTCCGAGCCTAGCACCTACCGAGCCTGCAGCTTGGGCACATGCGAGGTGGCGTCGAGGCACAGCAGGTGGTTCAACCATTTGTGAGACGTCTCAAATATACCCTTTTTACACGTCGCTCCAGGGCAGGGCCCTCTGCCGCATACCGGATCAGCTCCGTAACTCCACCTCCCTCAGCAGCACCCACCCGCACTACTACAAGCCCCCAGTTACCGCACCTTCCCGAACCTGAGTCTTACCGTGCCTGTAGCTTCGGAACATGGGAGGTGGCGTCGAGGCACAGCAGGTGGTTCAACCTTTTCTCCACGGGATCCCCCTCCGCATACCGGATCGGCTCCTGTAGCTCCACCTCCCTCAGCACTCGCACCGACACTCCACCTCCCTCAGCACTCGCACACCCACCCTTTCTTTACTACACCTTCCCCAGCCTGTGCCTCAACGAGCTTATTTCTCACCGGGCTTGCAGCTTGGGAACATGGGAGGTAGCGTCCAAGCACAACAGGTGGTTGAGCCATTTCTCCACGGGATCCCCCTCCGCATACCGGATCGGCTCCTGTAGCTCCACCTCTCTCAGCACCCGCACCGACACTCCACCTCCCCCACCACTGCCGCCACCATCAGCGGTTGCACCACCAGCAGCAGCACCAGCAGCGCCAGCGGCGGCGGCCCCTTTGGATTGCTCTCTGAGTTGCTGGATGAGCTTCAGGGAGAGGGACCGCCCCGTGCCCTCATAGCTGTTGGGGGTGGATGGGGGGAAGGCGAGGGGAGAGGGGGTGAATGATGCTGCAGAGTTCCCCTCCGCATACCGGATCGGCTCCTGCAGCTCCACCTCCCTCAGCACCCGCACCGACACTCCACCTCCCCCACCACTGCCGCCACCATCAGCGGTTGCACCACCAGCAGCAGCACCAGCAGCGCCAGCGGCGGCGGCCCCTTTGGATTGCTCTCTGAGTTGCTGGATGAGCTTCAGGGAGAGGGACCGCCCCGTGCCCTCATAGCTGTAGGTGGGGGAGGGGAGGGGGGAAGGCGAGTGGAGAGGGGGTGAATGACGCTGCAGGGTCCCCCTCCGCATACCGAACTGCCCCCCTTTGGATTGCTCTCTGAGTTGCTGGATGAGCTTCAGGGAGAGGGATCGTCCTGTGCCCTCGTAGCTGTAGGTGGTGGGGGGAGGTGGGGGGAGGTGGGGGAGGTGGGGGAGGGGAGAGGGGATGGCAACAGCGGTGGCTCTTTTAGATTGCTCCCTGAGTTGCTCGATGAGCTTCAGGGAGAGGGACCACCCCGTGCCCTCATAGCTGTAGGTGGTGGGGGGAGGTGGGGGAGGTGGGGGAGGTGGGGGAGGTGGGGAAGGGGAGAGGGGATGGCAACAGCGGTGGCTCTTTTAGATTGCTCTCTGAGTTGCTGGATGCGCTTCAGGGAGAGGGACCACCCCGTGCCCTCGTAGCTGTATGGAGAGGTGGGGCACGTGGTTGGGAGTAGGGGTGAGCAAGGGGCAAACACGAACACAGCCGCTTGCCGAACCGAACACTGTTTGGTCCGGCGAACACCTTTAGCAAAAACAGGTGTTCGCCGTTCGCCTGTGAAGGCGTGTTCGGGCGAACCTCGAACACGTTCGCGTTCGTCGCAGGGCAAATTGCAGCAGAGGCCCGAACACGAACGTGTTCGGGCGAACCTCGAACACTGTTCGGCGAACACTTTAAGCCAAAAAAACAAACCTGTTCGGTTCGCCTCGAACGTGTTCGAGGCGAACCGAACAGGTGTTCGTTTTTTTGCTCACCCCTAGTTGGGAGAGGGGACCCATGAGGCACGTTGAACACGGTTCCTTGAGCAACTGGGAGGGGACTTTTGAGTCGACTCAAAAATCACCTCTTTGGACTCATGAGGCACATTGAACACGGTTCCTTGAGCAACTGGGAGGGAAACAGCGACTCTTGACCATGGGCAGGGGGTTGGCTGGCTGCTCGCCATACCCCTTACAGAGCAATCCGCTAAAAGACATACCCGTCAACACTGGAGCCCATGAAAACAAGGCACGGCCACTGAAGCGCCTTGACCATGGGCAGGGAGATGGCTGCTGCCTGCTTCCTGTACCCCTTAGGTCATCTTTTGAGGCGCCTCACAAGGAAGATGGCTGCTGCCTGCTTCCTGTACCCCTTACAAACTAACCCCCTGCATATGTACCCGTTAACAGTAGAGCCCATGGGCCATGAAGACCAGATAGGGCCCCAGCAGCGCCTTGACCATGGGTAGGGGGATGGCTGCTGCTGCCTCACCGTACCCCACACAGGGTAACCCATTACCAACACATAGCACGTACCCGTTAACAGTCGAGCCCATGAACACGAGGTACGGTCCCAGGAGCGCCTTGACCATGGGCAGCGGGATGGCTGCTGCCTCGTCGATCACGAGCAGCTCCGCCTGCTGCACTCGCTCTGCGTGCTGTGGCATCACGTACTGCATGGGGGGGAGGGGGGGAGGAAGAGAGGAAAAAGGGCGAACGTGGAGACGGGAGAGACGATATCGGGCAGAGGGGGGTGGCAGTGGCAGTTGCCTTGCCTGCCTCGTCGATCACCAGCAGCTCCGCCTTCTGCACTCGCTCCGCGTGCTGTGGCATCACGTACTGAATGGGGGGTGGGGTGGGGTGGGGTGGGTGGGCGGGGGTTGAAATGGAGAAGGTGAGTGGACAAGGCAGGCAACCAGGCGCATTGCTCCTTGCACCCCAACCTGCATGGCCCTCAAGCACCTGAATGGTCTGCGTGTGCTGGTGAAACACGTTCACTCGCAAGATGGCGCGGTTGAAAGCCGGGTTAGTGCTCTCCACATGTGCTGGGACTGATTCAACCGCCTTGAACCCATTTGAGCTCCTTCGCTGACCACAAGGACAAGCTCTCACCTGAATGGTCTGGCGGTGCTGGTGGAACACGTTCACTCGCACGATGGCCCGGTTGAAGGCGGGGTTGGTGCTCTCCACTCCACGTGTGCTACTTTTGAGAATTCTCAAAAGTTTCCACTCCACGTGTGCTGGGACTGACTGACTCAACCACCTCGCACCCCGTTGAACCCACCTGGATGGTCCCACCTCCAGCCTACAGGCCAGGATCCCCCCTCACACACACCTGAATGGTCTGCCGGTGCTGGTGGAACACGTTCACTCGCACGATGGCGCGGTTGAAGGAGGGGTTGGTGCTCTCCACTCCACGTGTGCTACTTTTGAGAATTCTCAAAAGTTTCCACTCCACGTGTGCTGGGACTGACTGACTCAACCACCTCGCACCCCGTTGAACCCACCTGGATGGTCCCACCTCCAGCCTACAGGCCAGGATCCCCCCTCACACACACCTGAATGGTCTGCCGGTGCTGGTGGAACACGTTCACTCGCACGATGGCGCGGTTGAAGGCGGGGTTGGTGCTTTCAACGAGCTCGTAGTCTATGTGCTCCTGTTGCACAGCACAGAGGGGGCGTGGGAAGGGGAAGGGGTTAGTGTGTGTTAAGGAAAGGGACGCAACGGAAGGGGGGGTATAGGGAGTTAGTTGAAGGCGGGGTTGGTGCTCTCCACGAGCTCGTAGTCTATGTGCTCCTGGAGCAAGGAGAGTGGGGAGGGAGGATAGGTAGGAAATCGATTGGCAACAATCCCCGATGAGATGGTTGATCAAATCTGCGCGAGGTGAGTAGATATTTCTGTGTATTACCCAACCCGGACAAATCTGAAACTGACCCACCTTGTACCCGATGGCATCAAAGCCCTTGCGTGCCTTACCTTGTACCCGATGGCATCACCCAACCAAGGAAAACTACTAGAGGACAATGAAACTGACCGACCTTGTACCCGATGGCGTCACCCAACCAAGGAAAACTACTAGAGGACAATGAAACTGACCGACCTTGTACCCGATGGCGTCAAAGCCCTTGAACACAAACTCAAACAGTGTCTTCAGATTCTCCGGGCTCGGCGCCGTCACGAATATGTTGGAGTAGCTGCAGAGAGGGGGAGGGGGGGAAAAGGGGAGAGAGGGGGGTGGCTTGGTTAGAGGCTGAAGAGGAGTGTGCAATGCTGCAGTGATTCTCAGAAGACTTGCCAGCGATGGCATGGCAGCCGTCGATCGCAATGTCTTCTCATTCAGAGACGACACAGAGGAGGGTCACCACCGTCTACAACCCATCTTTCAATCCCACCCTGGCCCATCCATCCCAACCCCTTCCAACCACACTTACCCCAGCGCCACGGCACCAGCCACAGCGACACCAAGAGAAGCGGATTTCCCCCTTCCTCTGGCAGCAGTGATCGCAACAGTCGACCTCAGAGTCTTCTACACCAACCCATCCCTCCTTCCACCGCACCCAACCTATCTCAACCCCTTCCAAACCATTCACCCCAGCGCCATGGCCCCTGCCACACCACAGCCACGCCCAGCGCAGCGGATTTCCCCCTGCCTCTGGCAGCCGTGATCGCAACAGTCGACCTCAGAGTCTTCTCAGAGACAGCATCCAGGAACGTCACCACTGCCTTGGCCTGGTCCTCCAACCAGCCCATCGACCCCACACCACCCCACCCCACCCCACTCGATGCCTCTATTCAAAACCAAACAAATCAACCCTTCCAACCCCTCCCAACACCCACTCACCCCAGCGCCACGGCACCAGCCACAGCGACACCAAGAGAAGCGGATTTCCCCCTTCCTCTGGCAGCAGTGATCGCCACGGTAGATCTCAGAGTCTTCTCAGACACAGCATCAAGGAACGTCACCACTGCCTTGGCCTGGTCCAGCGTGCGACACGTGGCCACCAGCGCCCCCACTGGCTGGGTGTCTGCTAGCGACTCCTTGAGCTCCTTCAACTCCCTGTCGGATTCCGACTCCACTGCCTCGCCCTGGGATGGAATGGAGTGTATGCGGTTGGGAGGGGTATGGGGAAGGGCATGGGCTAGTGACTCATGGTAGCTGTGTGTCTGCCAGAGACTCCTTAAGCTCCTTCAACTCCCTGTCAGACTCGGACTCCACTGCCTCGGCCTGGGGAGGAAGCATGGAATGAGGGAGCGGGGTATGGGGAAAAGGCATAGGCTCGTGACTCACGGCATGTCACCACTGCCTTGGCCTGGTCCAGCGTGCGACACGTGGCCACCAGCGCCCCCACGGGCTGTGTGTCGGCTTTTGAGTCGACTCAAAAGTCACCTCAGCGCGCCACACGTGGCCACCAGCGCCCCCACGGGCTGTGTGTCGGCTAGGGACTCCTTGAGCTCCTTAAACTCCCTGTCAGATTCTGACTCCACTGCGTCGCCCTGTGGAAGAAAGGAGAAATGGGGGAGGGGAGTACGGAAGCAGTGGGTATGGGGGCATGGCCGACACTGGCTGTGTGTCGGCAAGCGACTCCTAGACTTCCTTCAACTCCCTGTCTGACTCTGATTCCAATGCCTCTCCCTGCGGACGGACGGGGAAATGAGGGCGGGGGGTATGGGGAAAAGGCATGGGCCTTGGCTTGGTCCAGCGCGCCACACGTGGCCACCAGCGCCCCCATTGGCTGTGGGTCGGCAAGCGACTCCTAGACTTCCTTCCTTCACCTCCCTGTCAGATTCCAATTTCACCGCCTCGCCCTGTTGTTGCGGGTTGATACGTGAGAAAGAGGGAAGTTGGGCAGGTGGGAAGGGGCGGGAAGAACAGAGGCACATGGCCACCAGCGAGGTGGCTTTTGAGTCGACTCAAAAGTCACCTCCGACAGAGGCACGTGGCCACCAGCGGCCCCACGGGCTTTTGAGTTGACTCAAAAGCCACCAGCGCCCCCACTAGCTGTGTGACGGCTAGGGACTCCTTCAGCTCACACAACTCCCGGTCGGATTCTGATTCCACTGCCTCTCCCTGGGTTGGGGTGGGTGGGCAGGTGGGCAGGTGGGCAGGTGGGCAGGTGGGGAAAGGAAGCACGTGGGGCACTGTGGGCACTGATGGAGAGGGCACTGATGGAGAGGGCACTGATGGAGAGGGCACTGATGGAGAGGGCACTGACTGACAGTGGGCACTGATGGAGAGGGCACTGACTGACAGTGGGCACTGACAAGGACTTACTGACCTCTGTAAGCGGAGAAGGCTGAAGGTGCCTCATATGAGAAGGCAGGAGGCGAGGGACTCACTTATCCTGCCTGGCTGGCGCTTACCTTGGTGTGGCGGGGGCACTGACCTCTGTGAGCGGTGACGGCTGCAGGTGCCTATATGAGAAGAGAGTGGCAGGATGTTGAGCTCGTCGTCCATGACACAGCACGTGGGGCAGGAGGCAGTGTGGGGATGGTGACTCACCCTGGCTAACCCTTACCTCTGTGAGTTGGATTGAAGGGGGAAGAGGGGCACTCACCTCTGTGAGGGGCGACGGCTGAAGATGCCACATGTGGGAAGACAGAGGCAGGAAGCCCGTCGCCCATCACACAGCACGTGGGGCAGGAGGCTAGACTGGCTGGCCCGTATCTCAGTGAGTGGAAGGGAAGGAGGGGCACTGACTGACCTCTGTGAACGGAGACGGTTGGAGATGGCGCATGTGGGAGGACAAGGGCAGGATGTTGAGCTCGTCGTCCATGACACAGCACGTGGGGCAGGAGGCGAGGGAGAGGATGAAGCGCTCGTTGAAGCGCCCCACCACATCCCCGTGGGACTCAGTACGGTAGCGTGCGTGCACGTCCTGAGGGTAAAATGCATGTACGGATAAGGGAATAGGGAAGGCAGAGGTAACTCAAGAGCACGTGGGGCAGGAGGCGAGGGAGAGGATGAAGCGCTCGTTGAAGCGCCCCACCACATCCCCGTGGGACTCAGTACGGTAGCGTGCGTGCACGTCCTGAGGGTAAAATGCATGTACGGATAAGGGAATAGGGAAGGCAGAGGTAACTCAAGAGCACGTGGGGCAGGAGGCGAGGGAGAGGATGAAGCGCTCGTTGAATCGCCCCACCACATCCCCGTGGGACTCAGTACGGTAGCGTGCGTGCACGTCCTGTGTGTGTGTTGGGGGGGGAAGGACACGATTGGTTTAGCAGGAATGAGTCAAGGTATAGGAGAAGCAGAGGTGACTCGAGAGCACTTTAGAGATTTTCCAAAAGGGATGAAGGAATAGGAGAACCAGAGGTGACTCAAAAGCACGAGGTGAGTAAGGGGAGGTATGTACCATGGCGCGGGTGAAGAGGCGAGAGAGCGAGGTGAGGAACGGGAGCAGCAGCAGAGAAGTTGAGAGGGTGAGAGACGATGAGGGCAGCAGGGCAGCAGGGCAGCAGGGCAGCAGCGCAGCAGGGCAGCAGCGCAGCAGGGCAGCAGGGCAGCAGGGCAGCAGGGCAGCAGCGCAGCAGTGCAGCAGGGCAGCAGGGCAGCAGGGCAGCAGCGCAGCAGGGCAGCATGGCAGCAGCACGTACCATGGCGAGGGTGAAGAGGCGGGAGAGGGAGGTGAGGGAGGAGAGCAGCAGCACGATGATCCCCCCGCCCTCCACCGTCTCTATCGTGCGCGCCAGCAGGTTGGGCGTCAGGGCCTCAAAATCCTGCCGTGTGGGGTTGAAAGGAGAGGAGAGCAGAGGAGAGCAGAGGAGAGCAGAGGAGAGCAGAGGAGAGCAGAGGAGAGCAGAGGAGAGCAGAGGAGAGCAGAGGAGAGCAGAGGAGAGCAGAGGAGAGCAGAGGAGAGGAGAGGAGAAGAGAGGAGAGGAGAGGAGAGCAGAGGAGAGGAGAGGAGAGCAGAGGAGAGCAGAGGAGAGGAGAGGAGAGCAGAGGAGAGCAGAGGAGAGGAGAGGAGAAGAGAGGAGAGGAGAGGAGAGGAGAGCAGAGGAGAGGAGAAGAGAGGAGAGGAGAGGAGAGGAGAGGAGAGCAGAGGAGAGCAGAGGAGAGCAGAGGAGAGCAGAGGAGAGCAGAGGAGAGCAGAGGAGAGGAGAGGAGAGGAGAGGAGAAGAGAGGAGAGGAGAGGAGAGGAGAGGAGAGGAGAGCAGAGGAGAGCAGAGGAGAGGAGAGGAGAGCAGAGGAGAGCAGAGGAGAGCAGAGGAGAGGAGAGGAGAAGAGAGGAGAGGAGAGGAGAGCAGAGGAGAGGAGAAGAGAGGAGAGCAGAGGAGAGGAGAGGAGAGGAGAAGAGAGGAGAGGAGAAGAGAGGAGACGAAAGGAGAGGAAGGGAGATGAAAGGAGAGGAAGGGAGATGAAAGGAGAGGAAGGGAGATGAAAGGAGAGAATGTGTTTCCAACAATCTTGTGCGTCTCCGAGTAGTAGCAGTAGCGGATGGCAGTGGAGGCCATGAAGAGAGCGAACGGGTCCTCCTTACAGGCTTTGGTGGGGGGCGTGGGGTGAGGTGAGGAGGCAAACACATCCCCACCCCACAGGGGTGAGATGGGGAACACGCAGCCCCAACCCTCAGGGCACGTACCTGCAGCACGCACATGCCGAAGGCGTTTCCGAGGATCTTATGCGTCTCAGCATAGTAGCAGTAGCAGATGGCCGTAGATGCCATGAAGAGAGCAAACGGGTCCTCCTTCTCAGGGTCCAGCAGGCCCCGCTGCATCATCTGGCATGCAGCGTCTGTGCACGCATGAAGCAAGCCTTACCTGCAGCACACACATGCCGAAGGTGTTTCCGAGGATCTTGTGCGTCTCTGCGTAGTAGCAGTAGCGGATGGCCGTAGAGGCCATAAAGAGAGCGAATGGATCCTCCTTCTCAGGGTCCAGCAGCCCTCGCTGCATCATCTTCTTCATCTGCCTCATGCGTTTTTTCCGGTTGCTGTGAAGGCGGGGGGTGGCGTAAGGGGAGGAAAGGGGACAAGAGATGAGGGGAATGGAGCGATCCTCCTTCTCAGGGTCCAGCAGCCCCCTCTGCATCATCTTCTTCATCTGCCGCATCCCTTTTTTCCGGTTGCTGGGGATTACGAAAGGGGAGGTGGGGGGGGGCGGGGCATAAGAGATTAGCGGAATGAGTGGGTCCTCCTATTCAAGGTCCAGCAGCCCCCGCTGCATCATCTTCTTTCATCAGGACAGACAACTGGGCAGCATGAGCCTTCAAACCCTAACCCCTGCGCCCTTCTCCTGTGTGAACACTTGCTCAACCCTTCACAAACCCCCTTTTTCTATTTCCCCATTCCCCCGACCCCTCTAACCCTACCCGCAGTTACCTGCTGAAAAAAAAAAAAGGAAATCCTTGTAGCCCAAACCCTCAACCCTCCATATCCCCCCTTCCTCCTTCCCCCCCCCTTCCCCTCCCAACCCAAACCTCTAAACCCCTAGAAATACCTGCTAAGGAAAAGGTCCTTCTTGTAGCACCAGAGCACGTTGGGTCTCGCCTTGACCACGGCCTTGGAGAGCATGTAGTGGAGATTCACCACCTGTTTCAGTCACATCGGGGTACAGTAGTATCCGGATACAGTCACATTGGTTACAGTATGGCCGTACCAGGCTACAGCATTGTCGCGTTACAGTCACTCCCAGGAGATATCCATACCCGGCGAACACACGACCTAGCTGGGTTCCGGGTTCTAAGGCAAATCAGGAGTTAGCTGCCTAGGGATTCAAGAAAGAGTTTAAAAAAAATCCCGTCTCACAGTTACGGCTCAGTTCAAGACGTCAGAGAAAAGACGAAGCGTATTAGTTTAGCAACTAAAATCCAAACCTGCTCTTATCCCTTGTCCCCCAGAATTACGAACTTGGACAGATGCTGGGACTAAGCTCGCTTCCAATCACAAACATGGACCCGAAACCCTAATCATGACTGAGATAGATTCGCGATCGTCCTAGTCCCTCACCTGCTCGCGGCCCTTATCCCCCACGATCACGAACATGGACCGCTGACGAGACTTGACGCCATTCTCGACGAGGGTTCGAATCCTCGCGTCCACCTTTTTCCTCATCGCCGCGACGGCTCGTCTGTCTCTCCAAAACTCTTGAAAAAAAACAAACTCTCACAAAAAAAAGAGCTCCCGCGGGAAGGTGCGCGAAATAGTCTCTCAATCACTCTCCCTAATCAGTCAAAGTTCCTGCTAAGTCTCCTGATCAATTCAAAAGCAGAAAGAATGTGACGCGTCTTGCCTCGACAGACTGCTCTCTCCCTTCCGCGACGGCTTGTTCGCAACGGTCCTTTTTACGCCCGGGCTCTGCAAATGCTGCTGTTGCTCCCTGATTCAACTGTGATGCTGAGGGAAGCGACTAATCCGTGTGCTGCTCCACTGTGCTGAGGACTGGAAGCAAACCCTGCGAAGTTCCATCAGCGAAACTGAAACCCATATGTTACAAGGGACTCCACGGTTCTCAGAACACATCAAGAAACTGATGGCACGTGACTTGATGCCTACAAAGTCTGGCTATACACTGCAACGCAACACATATTTGCCCCAGCGGAGCTTCTTAGTGAGAAATTTGTACCATTTTTAAGTCAGAAAAAAAAGCGCAACTTTTCCATTAACAATTACCGGTATCACGGGTGAGTGACTGGCCGCACTGCACCTCCCCCCCCCCCCCCCCTATCCTGCTTGGGCTAAAGCTTCGAGCTCTGGACCTTCTTCTCGTCATACACTGTGAACCCCGTCTCTTGGAGAAAAACAACCCTGTACACTAAAAGGCCCAATGTTAGTCATGGCTTGCCACCACCACACATCCGCGCCGTTCCACTAGGGCCAGAACTCGCCGTTCCCCCACCATTGCTGCATCTTGTCCCTGCTGTAAACCAAACACTCGGAATAAAGCGTACTAACCGACCGACTAGATTGCCATGCCATGTAATCTTGATGCATTTTGTTAGCATCACTAGATTACCACACATCCCGTGGTGTCCTGCTAGGGCTTGAATCCGTCTCCCCCCACCCTTGCTGCATTTTATTCCCATCATACACCGCCAACCCCACGCTCGGAATCTCCTCCGGAGCCTCCTTCACCCATGCGTATGTCCCCTTTTCAAACATCCTCACTATCTGCTCCAAGCTCTTCCCTCTCGTCTCGGGCGCAAGAAAAAAGAAAAACACAAAAGCGACCACTCCCATCCCGGCAAACATGAAAAACGGCCCCGCAGGACTGCCCGTCGCATCGGCCAAACTCAAAAACGTCATCGCGACCACGCCAGACGCGATCCTGTTGACAGCCGTGCCGATACCAGTTGCCTGTGCTCGCAGCCTCAGGGGGAAGATCTCCGAGGTGTATAACCAGTTGATGGGGCCAATACCGATCGAGAAAAAGGCGACGTAAAAGCAGAGGCCGGTGAAAGCAACAATGGCGGCTGTTGGGACTCCTGTGGTGGCGGTGACATCTGCGTCAACAGCGGTGGGGAGCTTGAGGAAGGCCAGGGCTTGAGTTAGGAGCGCAATCGTCATGCCTGGTGGGAAGGGGAGTTCGTGAATGAGAGGGGTATTGGGGAGTTGGGAGCGGTTTGAGCTGGCTCAAAAGCGTACTGGAGGGTGCGAAGGTCATGGCTTGCACTAGGAGGGCACCAGATCCTTTGCACATATACAGCAGAGGTACCAACGCACACTCGCAGCAGCCAAGCAAGCACGCTCACCTGCAGTGCACGCTCACCTGCAGTGCACGCTCACCTGCGGTGGATGCAAGCAGCAGCGGTCTCCGTCTGAAGTGGTCCAGCATGCACGTGGCAATTCCAACAAACGACACCTTGATCACCCCCATCAGCATATCCTTTGAACCATAGACGGCAGAGTTTTGAACGAAACACAGCAGAGGCACTGGTTCACCCTCGCGTCAATCAAACACACTCACCTGCAGTGGACGCTAGCAGCAGCGGTCTCCGTCCGAAGTGGTCCAGCATGCACGTGGCAATGCCAACAAACGACACCTTGATCACCCCCATCAGCAGCGTCGCCCCCAGCAGCGCGCGCGTAGACGTCACCCCCGCATCCCGCAGCACCACAGGCGAGTAATACACAGCCGCGTCAATCCCCACCGCCTGCTGCAGGAAATTTGTGCCCACGCACACCACCAGCATCCTCCCCACCGCCGGCGTCGGCCAGAGCAACTCCTTCCACACACCCGTCCCGCCTGCACCCTCCATTGGCCGTATCACGTGGATTTCTTGCTCTTCCTCGTCCACATACACTGTATCTCCCGCACCCTCGGCCCCGCTGCCTCCCAGCCGCTCGCGGGAATTGCTTCTGCCCCGGGCAGCGGAAATATCCGAGCCTTTGCTGATAACTTCCTCCTTCAGCCCTGCTGCTTCGAGAATCTCCAGCATCCGTTCATGGGCCTCCTCTTTGCTGTCAGATATGGTAAGGAGGATATCCTTGGCTTTTTTCACCTGCCCGTGCATGATCAGCCAGCGCGGGGATTCGGGCAGGAAAACCACTCCTACTGCGAGGATAAAGCCCGGAACGGCTCCCAGCCCCAACATCCACCTCCAGGCTGTATCCACGGGCAGCCCGGAAAGAAGAAAGGAGGTCAAGAAGCCCACTACAATGCCAATGTTGATAAAAAGCTCCCCGAAAGAAACCAGCCCGCCCCGCTGACCGGGAGGAGAAATTTCTGAGATGAACAGAGGAGGTAGAGCAAGACCGAATCCGACACCAACACCTGTAATGACACGTCCTGTAACGAGGATAGCGTAGGTCGGTGCTAACGCCATGCACAGAGCTCCGGCGATAAAAATCGAAGCGGCAGCTCCCATTGCGAATCTACGGCCCGCGAAATCCGCAAGTCTACCAGCTGATAGCGCGCCAACGAGGGAGACTATATTGAGGATGCCGACGAAAATTTCCTGCTGCACGTGGGAGAGGTCGAAATCTTCTGCCACGAAAATGAGCGCTCCGCTGGTGACGCCAATGTCTGCATGCCACGTCAGGAAAGGGAGGTCACAACAGAATCGTGGAGACGAGAGTGGGTCACGGCTGGATACTCGGAAAAAAAAAACAAAATCATACATACATTGTACGAAAAGCATTGGCATACGTCATACTGAGATGAATGAGATGTCACAACGCAGAAGCACGACCAGACACATTACTCAGGATTCTCGTGTTATAATGCGTACCATATCCAAGAAGAGCCAACGATATGGATGCCACAACACCAATTGAACAATTAGCGATACTCTTGCTATACCGCGTCCCATATCCAAGAAGAGTCGACGACAAGGATGCCAGAAGCACGACCGATTGGATTCGTTAGAAATGCTCTCGCTATATCGCTTACCATATCCGAGAAGGGCCGACGATATCGACGCCAGAAGCGACACCGACAGCACGTACGGCTTGATCGAACCCCAGCTACTCCGGTGACTGTTACCCCCCTCGCCGTCTATTGCGGTACTCGTCTTCCCGTCTCTCGCAGGGCTCGCCGGCGGCGTTCTCTCGTTGACCGTAAAGTAAGACGATCCTTTTGGGATGCTCGCACTTGATTGGTTCGCTGGAAGGCTAGACGGAGCATCGGATCCTGACCGCTCATCTGCTTCGCTGCTCGTCATGATGACTGCAGAAGGTGACCTAGATGTTACCTGAATTCAAGTCGATACATAAACGGTCAACTCGCCGAATCCGAACTATTCTACTCACACTGGGACGCAACGACTCCTCCCACAGGGACAGACACGCAAGGAGTGCACTCGAGAAACACAGGCTATACAGACATCGGTGACTTATGCAAGAAAACCCCAGCAATGTGCAGCTGGAAGAAGGCAAGCTCCCTAGCACAAGCAGAGCTCAGCAATAATTGTCAGCCATGGATAAAACCATTCGGCATTGCCAGTGAGATGAACTGAGAAATCTGGGTTCAGATGCGATGGGGGAGTCGGAAAATGGAGAGAGTGGAAAATGGGGAACTGGGGAAACGCGGTGGGCTACTGGTGGTGAGGAGGAGAGAGGCCTGTGCGGGCGGGAGGCGCTGTGCGATGTGTCAGTGGCCGCTGCCTGGGGATTTTGAGAAAAAATCTCGAGGTTTGCGAAGAACCGCGAGCGTCGCAGCAGATGTCCTTTCAAGGAATTGTTGTCATCTCTTCTCCGTTCTACCAATCACCGAGGCTCGGGAAAGCTGCGAAGCCATCGGCCATCCGATCAAATACTCCTGCCAAACCTGGTTGGTGTAACTGGTCTTACCTTCGACTTCAGAAACGCGATTCTACCTGACCAGGGAGAATCGCAGTGCGAACTTCCGGCGCGACCCTTCCCCCAGCACCTAGCCACCGCACCTGACGGCCAACAAAGATCCGTTATGGCATTTACATTTCATTTATATCAAATCAGCAAGCATTGCAGTGGGAATGAGCTTAGGAATGACAAATCTGCACTACTCCAATTCCTATCTGCTCTCTTCTCCATTCTTTGGCATCTCCGTACACCGCTTTTGACCGCTGACTCGCCTACACATGCGGACAGCCCCGTCCGCTTGCCTTTCCACCTCGCAAATGCACCCTGGAAAAGGATTTGCGTAGAAATTCTCCTCCAGCTTCGGATTTTCACCAACCTCTCGCAGATGAGGAGCACCCATTCCTTCTTTGTGTGCTTGCCTGATGAGCCTCCGAAACGCCTTCCACCTGATTTGTCGTGATTTTAATTGGTCAATGTGCCGAATGATGGCTTCCCTGCGAAGTGGGCACACCGGAGAAAAGGAAAATTAGTGGAGGAAAGGGAAGAGTAGCAGGAACAGGGAGGGAGTTGGCCAGTAAGAGACATTTCAAGGCTTTGTCTTTCTTGATAATGTCCAAAAACATTACCACATACACTCGTACGTGTACACAAACACATCGCTCTGCACGGCCACCGCCACTCACTTGAAAGAACCACCTCTGCACCGCTCGGCATTGCAATGCACCTCTCCTCACCTGTTGGGGATGATGGTCCTCCTATGTCCTTCAAACCTTCTGTGCCCCTGCACAGCCCGAGCCATGTTCCCCTCGTACGTGTACACAAACACATCGCTCTGCACCGCCACAGTGTAGTCCACAGCTGCCAGCCGGTTCTGGTACGCGCCTATGCTCGCCAGCTCTTCAGCCGTTGCCAGCGTGCTGTGTGTGTACGTGTTTGGGTACAGACGAGTCAGGTCCTGGTGGTGGTTGTGGGGGGGTTGGTGGTGGTTGTGGGGGGGTTGGTGGGGATGGGGGCAGGGAGTGAGAAGCAGAGGGTGGAAAGGGGAGCTGGGGATGAGGAAAGGCTTTGAGTGTGAGCCAGTGGCACTGGGGGAGTTGAGAAATTCAGTGCAACAAACGCTTCGCTCTGCACCGCCACTGTGTGGTCCACAGCTGCCAGCCGATTCTGGTACGCGCCTATGCTCGCCAGCTCCTCTGCTGTTGCCAGCGTGCTGTGTGTGTACATGTTTGGATACAGACGAGTCAGGTCCTGGTGATGGTGATAGGGATGCGGGCAGGGAGGGAGCCAGACACACAGAGGATTGAAAACTACAGGTAGAAACAATCCCCTCTTTCTTGCCTTTCTTTTCATGACACAGCTGCTGCCCCTTACTTCTATCCTCTGCGTCCGGTACCCTACAGTGGCCAGCTTATCAACCACAGACATAATCCTGAGTGTGAAGTTGAGTGGGTACTTGTACTTGCTACAGCGCCAGCTGGAGCTGTAGATATACCAGCTCTACTCAGAGCTCCCCTCTCCCTCACCTCCAGCCCGTTAGATCCGTAGATATCCCCAGCTGCCACATAAATGAGCGTTTTATTCGGATACCCCATGGCGCGCAGGAAAAGCGCCGTCTCCCGTGGCGTGAGCGGGCACGCCCCCTCCGTTCTCCGCGCCTCCCCGTCGATCTCCTTCTCCTTCCACCTTGAGTTGTTGAGCCGCATGGCCTTCAATTCCTCCCTCTCGGATGCCTGCAACCCGTGATCGCATCCTGTGAACGCCAACATGTCCTTCTCATATCTGGGAGGTCGGTCACAGGGGAGAGAAGAGAGCGGGTGGAAGAGAAAGACGAAGTTTGAGTCAATTTTGCCTTCTCGTTCTCCGGAAAAAGATGCTTCCTTGAAAGTAAAAAGTAGCAAGAAGCTACCATGCAGCAAGCACAAAGCAAGTAACAAGCAGCAACAGGCAAGAAGCTCAACACACAACCCACCTCAAGTGCAGCGCAATGTACGGCCCCCTCGCGTGCAATCTCGAGATCAGATTCGCCGCAATCTGCGAGATCGACGGCGTGTAGCGCAGAGACTTGTAGTTGGCGCGGCACCGCAGCCGTTGGATTGAGTCCGGCACGCCGTTGTTGGCGAGGCGCGAGTCGGTCAGAGGGAAGCGCATCACCCGGTGCTTCTTGACCCGTGGCAGCAGGTCCTCTCGGTAGTAGGAGAACTGGCAGGGGGGCGTGGACAGGCAGACGGGCAGGCAGGCACACGCGCGTGGGTGAGGGGGAAGTGCATCACTCGGTGCTTCTTGACCCGCGGGAACAGGTCCTCTCGATAGTAAGAGAACTGGAAGAGGGGAGGGAGGGGGGCACGACACTTGATGAGGCTCAATGTCAGCTTTGGTGTGAGGCTCGGTACGGTGTGAGGCTCGGTACAGTGTGAGGCTCGGTACGGTGTGAGGCTCGGTACAGTGTGAGGCTCAGTGTGCAGCTCAGTTTGCGGCACTAGCTTGGGCAAGGAAGCGGAGAGATCTTACCGGCGACCAGGAAACAGGGAACTTCTCGAGAGGCTCGATGTGTTGCACACGTTTGGGCAGCTGGCGCGCACACTTGGGTCACACAAGGAGATAAGCAAAGATGGTTCCATGGATAGCTCTGGGTGAGCTCAAGGCAAGAAGGCTTACCGGTGACCAGGAGACCGGGAACTTCTCGAGAGGCTCAATGTGTTGCACGCGCTTGGGCAGCTGGCGCACAATCCGAATGTCCTTCTTGAGCGAGGAGATGAAATGATCCAGGTCGAATATATCCTCAAACTCGCTGGGTTGGGAGGGGTGTGGGGAGAGGGAGAGGGGTGCAGAGAGGCGCAGAGAGGGGGGGCGAATGGAGTGAGGGGGAGGCTGGAGTAGGGAAAGAGGGATACAGACGGAGGAGTGATGCAGCTCGAGAACTGTAACAATTGCCAGGCCTTGGATGGCCAGTCTTTTTTAGTCGACTAGAAACGCCTTGTTGATGGTCAAGTAACCAGACAGAAAGGAAGGCAGTGTGGTGGAGTTTCGTTCGGCCCAGTAGGCAGTGTGGTGGAGTTTCGTTCGGCCCAGAAGGCAGTGTGGTGGAATTCTGGAATTGAAAGCCAGGCCGTAAATGGAAGGGAGAGAAGGAAGGAAGGAAGGGACTGACCTGAGGTCGGCCCAGAAGGAGGTGTGGTCGAGCTCGGGAACCAGAACGGTGCCAGGTGCTGTGCTGGATGGCCAAGAAAAAGACGGAAATGTGATAATCGCGTGCGAAGGGAAGGGACTGACCTGGGGTCAGCCCAGAAGGAGGTGTGGTCGAGCTCGGGAACCACGAGAGTGACATTCATGATGCGAGCTACAGCCACCATGTCACAGATCTGAAGGGGCAATGGACGGGAGAATGGGTCTACAGATTCGAGGGGTGAAAAAAACCCTTGAAGGGTGATACCTATGTGTCACTTACAGGGCAAATACAAGGGACAGAGTGAGAAAAGCCACACACTTTGCTCCAAATCTGCAGATGTACTTTTGCAGATGGTTGTTTTGCTTCTCCCTCAGTTTCATTCTACTTTGCTTTTTCTTCTATTAAATGGGTTCTTGTCGGGATAGCCCCTTCCCAAAGCTATTCGCTCTCCAACCCCAACCCCCCGCCTTCTCAAAAGATAACAAGTCCCACACTCACACCCCACACTCACACCCCACACTCATAGCCACTCACTCACAGGCCCACACTCATGGCAGCTCTCATCTGGTTGAGGCCCCCATTGGCTGTGACCAGCAGATAGCCGCACTCAACCACAGCCCAGAACTCACAACCGCACTAACAGCATCACAGTCACACACCTCACAATCGCACACTCACAGTCACACACGCACACCCCCACACTCACGGCAGCTCTCATCTGGTTGAGGCCCCCATTGGCTGTGACCAGCAGATAGCCGTTGGTGGAGCCCTTGACGGGCACTGGGGGGGAGAACGAGAAGGGGGAAGGGGGAAAGCGGGGGTGGAGGAGGGGCAGGGGCAAAGGAAAATCCAATGGCTGTGATCAGCAGGTAGCCGTTGGTGGAGCCCTTGACAGGCACTGGGGCAGGGGGCGGGAGGGGGGTAAGGGAAAGAGCGGAAGCGACGGGGGGAACAGAGGCAAGGGCAAAGGGGGAAATCCCTTGGCTGTGACCAGCAGGTAGCCGTTAATGGAGCCCTTTACAGGCACTGGGGGAGGGGGGAATGGGGGAAGAGGGGAAAGAGGGGGGATGTGGCAAGGGGCGACGGAGGAGTTGAAGGGGGCGAAATGGGAGTTGAAGGGGCAAGGGGTCCGGAGTAAAACGGAAACGGATGCAGGCAGGGGTGGCAGAACACGGGGTGGGGAGGGGTTAGGGGAGGTTGGAGGAGGTGGGGCGAATTCAACAGCTTGTGCTGACGTTTGAGTCGAAACAACGGCTACAAAGGCATTTCAGACTCTCACGAATCTCTGATCACATGTTTGAGCTAATATATTCAATTTCACCAACAATCCTCCCCTCCCCATCTTCCCCTTATCTTCTCCTCTCGTTTTTCTTCCGTCTTCCTTTCCCTCCTACCTTGCATCCTCCCTTCCATTCTCCCTTCTCTCTCCCCTCCTTTTCTTCCCTCTTCCTTTCTCCTTTCCTCTTTCAGCCCGCCCGCCTTTCCCAACCCCACTTCTCCCCTTTCCCCCCTGACATACCTTTATGGGTGCGGGAGCGTGCAATGCACTGCGCATATTTATGGCTCTTGGGGGCTCTCCAAAGGAATTTTTCTCTAACGGGTATCGGGGGCGCGTGAAAGAGAGTGGCGTTGAATCCGAATGGGGGCAGAGGGACGGAGGAGGACGACTGAGAGTAGTCATTGAAAGGAGAAAGTGGGGAGACCAGGGAGGATGTAAGAGGAGTTCCGCTCTCTTCATTCCCGTCTTCATGCCTCCCCTCGTCTGTATGCTGCTCGTGTCCCCCTCGATCCTCGTCACCGTATTCCTGATCCTCCGTTCCTCTATGCCCACGCTCCTTCGTCTCCTCATGCTCCTTCGCCCCCTCCTCATGCCGCCCCTCGTCTGTATGATGCTCGTGTCCTCCTCGCTCCTCGTCACCATATTCCTGATCCTCCATTCCTCTATGCCCACGCTCCTTCGCCCCCTCCTCATGCCCCCTCTCTCCATCCTCGTGCTCCTCTCCTGCTGCCCTCTGCTCACCATCCTCCTCCCCTTCCCCTCGCCCATGCTTCCCCTCCCCGTCTCGTTCCTCTTTCGACTCAACTGCCGACCCTCCTCCTTCCTCCTCCTCACTGCCACCACTCCCGCGCTCTCTGCCGCCAGTTCCCTTCATACCCGTCCTGTTCTCCTCATCCCCCCCTCCCTCATGCTCCTCATGCTCCGCGTCTCCGTTCCCCCCTTCCACCGCCTCGTCCGCAATACGGCTCCTTTTCCTTCTATGCCCTCTTCCTCCCTCCCCCTCCCCTTCACCTTCCGCGCCCTCCAAGTCCTCTTCATCTTCCCTCTTCCCCTCTGAGCCCACGTGTCGCCTTCTCTCCTCTCCACGCATCTTCTCCCCCGTTTGCTCTCCCTGATCCTCATCGTCCCCAACTGAATCAGCCCGCACGCTTTTTCTTTTCCCAACTCCCTCGACTTCATCCTCCTCCCCTCTCTCTCCCGCTCGCTCGCTCCCTGCTTCCTCCTCCTCCTCGTCCTTCCGGATCCTCCTCCGTAGCTCAACATCCCCTTCACCTCCACCTCTCTCACCTCTCGGGCCCTTAGGCTTCTCCTCCCCAGCATGAACTCCTTCATTCTCCCCTTCTCTGTATTCGTCCTCTCCCTCCATATTACTTCTCCCTGTACGGCCTCTGCTTCCCCTCCCCTCCTCGTCCAAATTACCTCTCATTTCCCCCTTCATGTTTTTTTCCATCAACACACTATCTCCAAGCTCCCTCCTCGGCAGCCCATTCACTTTCCCCTTCCTCCACAATCCATCCCCATTCTTCGCGATTTCCGCCGTTTGTGGCGGCGGTAGATCTCCGTCCAATCCCAGATCGTCACCGGAACCTGCGATGAATACTCCGGCGTGGTCACCTCTTAAGTTGCGGCTCGCGAATAACGCGTGCTGCGCGACGCCGTTACCGTTGAGAATTTCGCCCACAGGCACGATCTTCCCCTGATGCAATTAAATTGGCGACAAGTTCACGTAAAATGAACACAGTTGAGTTACTCGTGATGTATGAATGTCAAACGGAGGGGCTTATAGGAACGGAAAAACACTCGGTGACGCACGCCTGTCTCATTGTGCACACGACTTGTCAAATCAAAAGCACAGCCGGCGACAGTTGAGCATGTTGTGTTCTGAAAACCAATCAAACAGGCCCGAGGGCTTATTAATGTCGCGTTGTTGACATTTTTCTTTTTTTTGTTCCAACCTTGAGCCATTTCAAACCGAAGTCGCACGCACCACGCATGCAGTACGGACTCTGACCGAAGCGTCGCAAGCATGAACGTACCTTGCTGGTACCTTGCTTGAAAACGGTTCTATCGACTCAATGGGCGAAACGGTCACCATTAGAGCTCCACCGAGAAGAAAACAGATGCAAGGAATTTAAGATGTACGGTTACCTCTTAAATCGCGTATGTTGCTTTTTCAGTATGCTAACCATTTCAGAAAAACGAACATCATAATGAAAACTGCGGAGCAGACGGAATTTAGATGCAACGACTTCCAACTGTTTCACGCGCTTTATTCTGCGAACGTACCTTGTTAAGTGCAGGTATAGACTTGAAAGAAACGGCAACCATCATAATCCCGGCGAACAGGAGAAACATGGACGCTCGGAAGCTCAGCGGAACCACTCTCTTCCCCTCGTATGTCTTTCCCCTGAGCCACCTGCTGCCGTCCGCATGCGCCTTCCGCACCGATCTCTTCCCCTCCCCCGCTTCCGCTCCCCCGATCACCGTTCCGCCGATCACCAATCCTCCAACTACCATCACTGGATTGTGAGCATTGCCAGTCTTAGGCGCAGCTGCAGGTCTACACGAAATCGACTGATCGCCGGGAAGCCTGTCGTTACACGGATTTGCGTGTAACGGGGATGATTCGTAACTGTGTGGAGCAGCAGAGTTAGGATCTGACGTATGGTGGTGGAGGTGGAGGAGGTGGTTGTGCGGAGCGGCGTGTAGGTGCACGTTGACGGCCGGCTGTTCCGCCATTGCCACCGCTTATATAGAGTACGTAGTGCTTATATAGCGTACGTACGCCTTATAACAACGTATGAGCCGCTTATATTCAACAACGCTGTAACACACCGCTTATATAACACACACAATTCCAGTCTCGTTTGCTGCGAGTTGTTGGAAAACCGTAAAAGGCGTCTAACGAGCAGCTAGACGGGAATTATGCAAGGAATTAGCCTTGATCTGATTGTTAGTTTTGGGGGATAGTAAAGCTGTGCGGCATTATTCAAACACGAGCTTCCCCTGAGTCAAACTGCGTTCGTTATCCTATCAGTAGCTGTAATAGTTTTGTGACATGGACAGAAAACGTTCAGTGCGCCTTGGGAGGAAAGAGACCCAAACTACGTCACTATCGTGTCGCATCGCATCTGATGAATAAGCACAGATGCGCGCACAACAACCCCAAACAGTACAGCTAAAACTTAGAAACGAGAGTGAGAAGGGTGGCCATGTGACAGGTAGGCATGGAAAAGGTAGTGATGGAGCAAAACTGATCTGGTGGGAGTGAATGGCGGATGGTGAACTGTACTGTACGGGACGAGAAGTGAAGTTGACAGGTTCTGATGAAGAGAGATCGTAGGCAGGTGGTGAGTGCTGCAAATCGGCAGTCTCTAGGTGTGAGTGTCCGTTTTTTATAGGGTTCGGCTGCGATTCTGTACGGTTTAGCGAGGTACTCAGCATATCAGAGGCAGCCCGAGTTTGGAAAGAGGTTGGGGAGGGAAAGCGATGGCCTCGCGAAAGTCCTAGGTTGCGTTGCGACTCCTGCCTTCTAACCGACCAATGAAACACAGGAAGCGCTAGTGGAGAAGGTGAGGTCAAAACAGCCTTGGGAGGTTCGCGCCACGTCAGGAGGGTGCTCCTCCTGACCAGGACTACTCGTGGTGCACCAAACCAGAACTTGCTGTCGCACGAGTCACAGAACCTGACTGGGCGACTTCCCATGCGACGAATGTGCGCACACATGTCCCTCGCATTCGGATGGTCATCGCGAACGCTGAGACACCGTTGGATTGGCTGGAACAGTCAAATGGGCTCCGTCGAATCTCCTGGGCCGTCGCTTAGGTTCGGAAGGTTGCTAACCGAACGAAGTCTTCTCTTGGGTTTTGGCGGGGATGCAGGCAGGCTGCCCTGTGCAAGGCGGGAAGTCTGGTGAAGCTTGCTGCATGTGGCTTGTATCGATGCCAACCGCCTTAGTGTAAGGAGTAGAGTTCACATATTTCATAAGCCAAACGTATATGCACTATGCAGAATTTGTTGCGAGAATATTCAGAATACCATCGGGGCCAGCTTGAATAAGAATGAGTGCCAACAATGTGTCCCTCCTGTTTCCCATTTCACCTTGGTGGCCCAATCTGTTATGGATTGTACTAACAGAGTGCACGGAAGACTTCTATAAAGAGAACGTGATTCCAGCATCATGAAACAATTAAGAAAGCGAGCATTTATAGGGCGGAAACTAGCTAGGCGAGAACCTCGTGATGTGCGTGGCTCGGAAATGTCGCGATTGGTGATGGGCGACTCGGAAGTGGTTTGGGCCAAAATGTAGGCCGAACCTGAAATTGACGCGCAGTGTTCGGGACTGTCATCGCTACGAGCAGCCTCTACAGTAATGAATTGTAATTCATTACACTCGCCCACCTTCTAGATAAGGCCCCCTTATCTGTAGTCGAGTCTTGCGGTAGCTGGAAAACTGCAGATCTCGGACGAAACTGATGTGACGGTGCAGAAGCACGTTGACGTTCAAGTTGACGCGTGGCTGACCGCGTTGACCAGGCGAACTTTAAAGAGTTGGGTGTCAGCCGTTGTTATTGCCGATATCGATCGGGCGGTTGAAAACGAATGTCGATTTGAAATCCTTCGATGAATGAAAACCGTCGATGTGGCGGATCTGTGTCGGACGGTCGAGATGAACGTGTTGGTGACGGGAATTCTTACGCGTTGTCAGAGATCGACCGAATCAGGACACGTCGATGTCGATGGAGTAATCGCGAGCGTCCGTTGTGCTGGATGGGTCAGACAAATCTGTCAGGAAAAACTGACAAGTACAGTGCGAGAGAACTCTCCCCCCCCCCTTTGAAAAGGACTGCCACCCCAAAATCTCCGCGTGGCAGCATCGAATCACCCTTCTGCTGCAGTATCTTCGGTTGCCAGTACCTGCAACCCCGAAACTGCTGCTGTTGGCGTGTTGCTGTGGCAGAATCGAAATCCCCGATTGCTGCAGTATCTCCAGCTGTCAGGTGCTGCCACCCAAAAAACTCCACTTCGTCACATGTTGAACCTGTGGACATTGTCGTCTGTAGCAGGACGATGAAGGAACTGTCCTGAAAATCTTTGGTCGTGATTCCGGATTGTGTAGGTTGTCAGAACTATATTGTAGGCTGTAGTGGGGCACTCCTTATGGGGTACAGTATTGTTAGGTTTTGCCTATACAAACCTTGTACTGCCCTGTTTCTAGTCATTCTCATTTCATACCTTGTGACATGGTTTCAGAGAAGATTCCCTAGTGGGAACGTTTTTTTAGGGCCCACCGTGTTATTTTTTTTTTTTACTGCCCTGCCCGAAGCACGCGTCGCGCCTGCCTCGCCCTAGTGCCGCCCTTAGCGGCCCTGCCCTTTGCGGCCCGTCGCGCCCTTCCCCTACGGCCCGTCGAGGCCCGATCTCGCCGCCCTTAGCGGCCCGCCCTGCAGTCGCCATCCTTAGCTGCCCGCCCTGCCGTCGCCGCCCTTAGCAGCCTGCCCGCCCCGTTGTCGCGGCCCTACCTACCCTGTCGCCCGTCGCGGCCCTGCTTTACCGGCCGTCGCGGCCCTGCCCTGCCGCCCTTCGCCACGGCCCTGCCCCACCGCCCTACGTCGCGGCCCCTGACCTGCGGCCGCCGTCGCGGCCCCTGACCTGCCGCCCCACGTCGCGGCCCCTTACCCTTCAGCAGCCGCCGAGGCCCCGTGGCCTGCAGCAGCCGTCGCCCCTGCTGCCGCCGTAGCGGCCCTGCTGCCGCCGTCGAGCCTGCAGCCGCCGGTGCAATCGCCGTCGTCGTCGCCGTTGAGGCCCCGCCGTCGCGGCCCTGCCCTGCCGCCCTGACGCGGCCCTGACCTGCCGCCGAATCGCGGCCCTGCCCTGCCGCCTTGTCGCGGCCCCTACCCTGCTAGCGCGCCACGGCCCTGCCCCACCAGTCGCGGCCTCTACCCTCCCCTCCCGCCACTGGTAAGCGCACCGCCGCAGCCGCGCCGCCCTGTCGAGCCGCGCCGCCCTGTCGAGCCGCGCCGGCCTGCCGAGCCGCGCCGCCCTGCCGAGCCGCGCCGCCCTGCCGAGTCGCGCCGCCCTGCCGAGTCGCGCTGCTACTGCTGCTGCTGTTGCTAGGCTACTTCTGCTGCTACTGCCGTCATGGCTAGCCTTAATGTCCTTACCTTCGATGCTGAGGGTCGAGCAGTCGATTTCGAGGTCTGTGTCGATGATCTGCAGCTTTTTCTGCATTGTGACTCTAGGGATGGAGTCTCACTGTTCGATCACACGTCCGGCGTCTCTGTTGCACTTGCTGCCGATGCTGACAGTGCACTCCGCTCGTAGTGGACCACGCGCGATGCTGCTGCTCGTCTTGCTGTTCGTAGTCACCTGCCGTCTGCTGAGCGCGCGCACTTTAGCCAGTACAAGACTGCTAAGACTCTGTACGACGCTGTTGTTGCGCGCTACTCCTCCCCTGCCACTGCTGCCCTTAGCCGCCTCATGCTGCTGTACCTGTTTCCTGACCTAGCCGCTTTTGCCACTGTCGCTGACCTCATTACGCACCTCCGCACTAGTGACACCCGCTACCGCGCTGCGCTTCCTCCCGAGTTCTGCGCCAAGAACCCCCCCCCCCTATGTACATAACTCTCTACTACCTCGTCACCCGCCTTCCTGACTCCCTTCGCTCGGCCAGGGATCACTTCCTCTCCCTTTGCCCCACCACGCTCACCGTTGACCCCCTCGAGGAGCGCCTCCTTGCAGCTGAGAAGAGTATAGTCGCTGTAGGAGCCTCTCGTGGTGACCCTCGTGCCCCTTTCTTTGAGGGGTGCTCCCCTGTCCCCCTTTTGCCCTCTGTTGCCTCTGTTGCTGCTGTCGACCTCGTTGGCACCGAGTCGGTCGGCGCTGCGTGTGCTCCTAGTGGGAGGCGCCGCAGCAGCAGGAGCAAGGGGGGCAAGGGTGCTGGAGGAGACGGCGGGGGCGGCGGTGGTGGCGGTGGAGGCGGCGGAGGGGGTGGGGGTGGAGGTGGGGGTGGTGGCGGGATTGGGGGCTTCGGCGGCGGCGGTGGAGGTGGAGGCGGCGGCGGCAGCGGCAGTGGGGGTGGCGGAGGCGGCAGCGGCGGTGGGGGTGGTGGTGGCGGTGGTGCTGATCGGGGTGGCGCTGTGCAGCAGGGAGGTCCTGGTGGTGGCTAGCGCCAGCAGCAGCAGCGTTCTCGTGAGACCCTGTCGGCCCAGCAGCTTCGTGAGTGGTACGCTGGGCGTGGGAGGTCTGGGGGTGCTGGTCCTTGTGCTTACGATCTCCGCACCGGCGAGCGCAGTGGGGAGACGTGCGGAGGACCGCACGCCACGCACCGCTGTTTCGGCCGCCTGACGGACGCCTGGCGTACACAGTTTCCAGACGCCACTGAGCTCCCTCGCTGGGGTGATCTACTTAGGTCGGGTGTTGCTATTTTTTATCTTGATTATGATGCTATCCTTGCTGCTATGTATGCTGTGACTATTAGTGCTGAGGGTGACTGTTACCTGTGTGTTCCGCCCGACCCGGGCATTGAGGCTGCTGCTCTAGGTGCTAGTGAGTCTGCTGCTCCAGGTGCTGGTGAGTCTGCTCTCTCAGGTACCGCGTCGGGTCAGGCCTTGCACACGTTCACCCTTGACTCGGGTGCTTCCCGCTCCTTCTTTCGCGACTGCACCACACTCTCGCCGCTCAGTCGACCAGTGGCAGTCTCCCTGGCTGACCCCTCTGGGGGTCCGGTCCTTGCACACTCCTCCACGGTTCTGCCGTGTCCGGCGGTCCCGTCTGGCTCTCTGTCTGGCCTCCACCTCCCCTCGTTCTCCACGAACTTGGTGAGTGGAGCTGACCTTCAGGACGCCTGGGTTGACCAGTTCACTCCTAGAGGTCAGCGGGTGACCCACTGTTCGTGCACTCAGACGGGCCGGTACCTGGCCATGTTCTCCCGTCAGCCTAGGTCGAGCCTGTACACCCTGACTACCGGGTCTCCTCCCGTTACTGCGTCTGGTCAGGTAGCTGCGTCGGGTCAGGTGTTTGCTGCAGCGTCCCGGTCTGGTCCTGAGTCTGCCCCCTGCTCATGTCGCCTCCTGTCTCACCAGACTCTTCTCTGGCACCACCGCCTTGGTCACCCCTCCCTGCCTCGTCTCCGAGGCATGGCCTCCCGTGTCCTTGTCACTGGCCTTCCCCGGTCTCTCCCTCCCCTTCCCCCAGGGCCTGCCCCTACCTGCGTTCCTTGCGTCGAGGGGCGGCAGCGCGCCGCTCCTCACTCCTCCGAATTTCCTCCGACGGAGGCTCCCCTGCAGACTCTTCATATGGACGTGTGGGGCCCAGCCCGCGTCCGTGGACAGGGTCACGAGCGCTACTTTCTGCTGGTCGTTGACGTCTACTCGCGTTACACCACAATCTTCCCCTTGCGCCGCAAGGGTGAGGTCACTGAGGTGCTGATCGACTGGATCCGCGCTGCCCGTCGTCAGCTCAGCGAGAGTTTTGGCTCGGACCTTCCTGTTCTGCGTCTGCACTCCGACAGAGGTGGAGAGTTCTCCTCCGACCTTCTGCGAGCCTTCTGTCGTGCGGAGGGCATCCGCCAGACGTTCACGCTTCTGGCCTCTCCACAGCAAAATGGGATTGTTGAGCGCCGCATTGGCATGGTCATGGACGTCGCTCGTACGTCCATGATCCATGCGGCTGCTCCCCATTTTCTGTGGCCGTTCGCGGTTCAGTACGTTGCGCATCAGCTCAACCTCCACCCCTGGGTCTCCATGCCGGAGACCACACCTACGCTGCGGTGGACGGGGAAGGTTGGCGATGCGTCTGCGTTCCGTGTCTGGGGATCTCGAGCTTTCGTCCGCGACTTGTCTGCGGACCAGCTGTCCTCCCGTGCTGTTCCCTGCGTCTTCCTTGGCTTCCCCCCTGACGCGCCTGGCTGGCAGTTTTACCACCCCACCTCGCGCCGTATTCTGTCCTCTCAGGACGTCACGTTTGACGAGTCGGTTCCTTACTACCGTCTCTTCCCCTACCGCACTGCCCCCCTTCCCCCCCTGCTGCTCTTCCTCGCGCCAGGTCCTCCTCCGGTAGACCCCCTTCCCCCTCAGGGTCCTGCCCCCTCAGATGTGTCCCAGGTAGACGCAGTCGAGCCTGTCGAGGTAGCTGTTGACTCTGGTGCGGCTAGGGGTGCTGAGCCTGCGGGTGCCGGGTCTGGGGGTGCTGAACTTGAGCGTGCGGAGCCTGGGGGTGCTGAGTCTGGGGGTGCTGAGCCTGGGAGTGCTGAGCCTGGGGGTGATGAGCCTGGGGTTGCTGAGTCTGGGGGTGCGGAGCCTGAGGGTGCTGAGCCTGCGCGTGTGGAGTCTGGAGGCGCTTAGCCTGGAGGTCCTTTGGGTGCTTCGTCCCGGCGGGAGCCACTCTCTCCACCGCAGCTGCGCGAGTGGTTTGCTCGGCGCTGGAGCCGTGCTGCTGGAACTGGTGGTGCTACGGGCGCTGGAGGTCCTGCTGCTGCTGGAGCTCCTTGGGGTCCTGGAGCCACTGGTCCCGGAGGTGCTCGTACTGGAGGTACTGGAGCTGCTGGGCCTGGTGGTGCTACTGGAGCTGGAGCTGCTGAAGCTGGCGGTGCTGCTGGAGCAGGTGCTGCTGGAGGTACTGGAGCTGGTGCTACTGGAGCTGCTGGGGCTTCTGTTGGTCCTGCTGGAGCTGGAGCTGAAGGTGCTACTGGAGCCGGTGCTCCTTGGGGTGCTGGAGTTGGCGCTACTGGAGCTGCTGGAGGTACTGCTGGAGTTGGCGCTGACGCTGAGGGTGCTGGTGCTGTCCCTGCTAGTTCTGGAGGCGCTGTCCGGCCGCGGCCGTACTTCGTTCAGCTCCTTGAGCAGGTTCTTGGTGGCCCGCCTTCTACTGGTCCTGCTCCTTCCTTAGTGTCTCTACTGCCTGTCCAGGCGCAGTCGCAGTCATAGTTACAGCTACAGCTCGCTTCCCCATTGCCTGCTCCTTCTCCTTACACTAGTCCGACCGGAGGTCTTGCTGAGCGTCGTGAGCCTGCGTCTCGTCCTGCGTCGCCTGCTCGTGCTGCTCGCACTAGTCGTCGTGGTTCGCGTCAGCGTCCTCCTCCTGTCCCCGGCACGCACCAGATGGCACTTCGTCCTTCCACTGCTCCGCAGCGTGTCCCTCTACCGTCTCCTCCTGCGTCCTCCCTTCCTGCCCTTGCTGACCCGGAGTCTGACTCCCTTCGTGCTGCTAGTCCTACTGTCACGCGTCTCCTGACCACTGTTGTCACTGACCCTTCCTTTGAGTCTACTGCTACGTCTGCTCTTGTTGCTGAGCTTGTCGACTTTGCTGCTCGCTGCCGTCTAAACTACGCCGCTAGTCTTGTTGCTTAGTCTGAGTCTGTCTGTCCTCCGTCCGTCGGGGGTGAGTGTGCCCTTAGCACGGACGTCCTTGAGGACAGGCAGGAGGAGTTCCAGCGCTTTGCTGCTGCTTTACCTCATCTCGTGTCCATGTTGATTGCCCCTGAGGGAGACCCGGATGCACCAGACATCCCGACCCCGCGCTCTTACGCAGAGGCGATAGAGGGTCCTTACTCCTCTCAGTGGCAGACACCCATGGACGCAGAGATGGCTTCCTGGAAGTCCACAGGCACCTACGTCGACGAGGTTCCCCCACGTGGGGCGAACATTGTCGATGACATGTGGATTTTCAGGGTGAAGCGGCCGCCGGGTTCTCCGCCTGTCTTCAAGGCGCGTTACGTGGCTCGAGGCTTCAGTCAGCGGCAGGGAGTTGACTACTTTCAGACCTTCTCTCCCACCCCGAAGATGACCACTCTTCGGGTTCTGCTACACGTTGCCGCTCAGCGTGACTACGAGCTTCACTCTCTTGACTTCAGCACAGCCTTCCTAGAGGGCAGCCTGCACGAGATCTAGCTGCGCCGCCCACCTGGCTTCACTGGGTCGTTTCCTCCTGGTACCCAGTGGAGCCTCCGGCGGCCAGTCTCCGCCAGGCGCCCACAGAGGACTACGCTTGCGGCTCTTGGGTTTGCTCCTTCTACTGCTGACACGTCGCTGTTTCTGCGCACCGACACTTCGCTGCCGCCGTTCTACATCCTCGTGTACATCGACGACTTGGTCTTTGCCACTGCTGACACTGAGGGACTCGCCCACGTGAAGTCGAAGCTGTAGAAGAGATTCACGTGCACAGATCTGGGTGAACTGCGCAGCTATCTTGGCTTGCAGATCAAGCGGGACAGAGCACGGTGCACCATTACCTTGACTCAGTCACACATGGTGCAGCAGGTCCTTCAGCGCTTCAACTTCACGTACTCCTCGCCTCAGGCCACTCCTCTGTCTACTCGCCACTCACTCTCAGCTCTGCCTTCGGATGAGTCCGTAGAGCTGAGTGGCCCGTACCCAGAGCTTGTTGGCTACCTCATGTACCTGATGAACTGCACTCGACCTGACCTGGCATACCCTCTTAGCATCTTGGCACGCTATGTAGCTCCTGGGAGACACCAACCAGAGCACATGGATGCAGCTAAGAGGGTGTTGTGCTACCTGTGCAGTACGTCGGGCATGGGGCTCGTGCTTGGAGTACGGGCTCGAGTTGTCCTCACTGGTCACACAGACGCTTCTTGGGTTGACGACTTGGCTACGCAGCGGTCGTCACAGGGTTACACCTTCAGCTTTGGTTCCGGCTCTGTTTCGTGGCGGTCTACCCGCTCGTCTTCCATTCTCAGCTCCAGTTGTGAGGCTGAGATCTACGCTGGGGCCATGGCTGCACAGGAGTTACGCTGGCTTACCTACCTGCTGACTGACTTGGGAGAGGCGCCTCATTCTCCTCCAGTTCTGTACGTCGACAAAAAGGCCATGCTTGCCTTGTGTCAGGAGCACAGACTGGAGCACAGAACGAAGCATATTGCTCTGCGCTACTTCCTTGCTCGAGAGTTGCAGCAGCGTGGTCAGCTTCGTCTTGCTTACGTGGGCACTCGGGCCAACACTGCTGATATCTTTACCAAGGCACTTCAGCCTTGTGATCATCAGCGTTTTTGTACTATGTTAGGTCTTGTGCCTACCTGGCCTCACTTGCTTACCTCTTGACTTTGCTTGTACTGTGATCTATATATACCTGTACCTGCATGCTTACCCTTGCTAGGTTGAAATCACTGTCTTGCTTGTTCACCTTAATTTATAATCCTGCATGTGAACTGGCATTGTGGCCTTGTACTTGTGCTCAGAATGCGTGGTGACGTTGTGGTCCACCCTGAGCTTGACCTTGCCTTGTTCTCTTGCTTGTCCCCAACTTTGGCTATGGGGGTGTGTCATAACTATATTGTAGGCTATAGTGGGGCACTCCTTATGGGGTACAGTATTGTTAGGTTTTGCCTATACAAACCTTGTTCTGCTCTGTTTCTAGTCATTCTCGTTTCATACCTTGTGACATAGGCTTGTCGTCGAAGGCCATAGCGAAAAGGGCGAAAACGTTGAAGCACATCAGCGACGTTCGGCAAGGCGGGCAGATCACGTAACTGACCGAATGTTAGTCTTGTAAACTCCAATAAAAACTCAAACTCAGGTGCGTATGACGCCAGCACCCCCGGCTGCTTTGTCGTAACTCGCCGAGACCTTTATCGCTATTCTCCGAAAACTCCCGGGCAGAGGCGAAAAACAGCTGTTGTTCCTCCTCCTGACCACCGAAATAAATTTTCAACTTCGAACTTGAACTGCCGATGACATCAGCTGCACTGTCAGCGTTGTCGTGACTCGTCAAAAACTCCCGGGCATGGGCGAAAAACAGCTGTCGACCCCTCCCTCCACCTGTTGCAAATTTTCACCTGTGTTGTCGCTAGTACCCCCGGACAGCTTTCGAGTTGTACTGCTACACTTTTTACGACGGGTGGCTTCGCACGCTTAATCAAGCGACGCTGCAACTCCGCCGTTGGCACGGATACTGTCGAGGACCTTGCCGACTCCGTTAGGACTCTTTCTCGGAACTGCTCGTTGAACCCGCAAATGTCGGAAATTAACAGACCCCGAAAATCTAGGTCGCCCGCAGGTTGTCCTCCGAACGAACCGATGTTTCTAGCACGCCCACCCGGCACCATGTTTTTCGTGCGTTTGACCACCCAAGCGACCCACCAACAGGAGGTGCTTTTTCGGCGAGGAAACCAGTACTTTTGGGTCTTCCGAGACCGATTTTCACGGACCCTAGCGCGCAACAACGTCGCAGATCTCGCCGTTGAACTCCCCCAGGTAAACTCCTGAAGTACACCGTGAAGCTTAAAACAACTGGCGAGGAGACGTTAACCCGTCTCCCACCGTCGAAATGTCACCCGAAAATCGTGGTTGCGGCAACGAGCCCCGAAGTATTTTCCGCCTTCTAGCCCCGACATTTCCACCGTCGACCCTGGTACTCAGACGTTCACCCATCTTCGTACCCGTCGAGATTACTTAGCAAATCCCAGGTATCCTTGGCAATACACCCCTCGCCGTGCCTCCATATGTGAGATTTCCGACCCTTTCGGCGCCCACCAAGTAGACCCCGAATTCACGGTGGAGTGGTGTACGTGTTCAACCTATCACTCAAGTGGCTTGAAGAGGCACCCACAACTTTCCCACCATTTTTTATCTTCACCCCCCGACAATTTCGCTTGCTGTAGCGTCCGCTTTTGTCGGATGAGGTGTTTTCCGTGTTGACCTGCAATTTTTCTGGCGTTCGATGAAGGCGCGGACGCTATCGTAGTCAAACTCTCAGCCGGCCGCTTCGCTGTCCACCGTGCCTATCGCATTTGAAAACTCCGCAGCTTCGGGAACTCCGTCTTCGCTGCTACACCGCCGTCGGGTAGACCGTTGAATTCGGAGAAACACCGCCAACTGCCACTGTCAGAATATAATGCTTGTCTAGCCTGCAGTGGGGTACTCTATAGCGAGTACAGCCCCTTAGGGTTTCCTATTTGTATCCACCTGCTTGCTAGTGCAACCTCTCTCCTTTTGCCTATCTTCTCTTGCCTAGCTAGGGTTTCCCTAGCTATGGCTCCTCGTTATGCCTACTATTCTCACATGCTATCAGAGCGGTTACGCTCCTGGCCTGTGGGCCCACCTACTTCCGCTGCCCTACTGTGTGTCGCGCGCCCCGTGGCGCGCGACCTTCGATTTTTCTTCCCGCCACGCGCTCGGGGCACGTGGCGGTTTTCTGCCCGCCGTGCGCCCTGAGGCGCGCGGCGGGTTCCTGCTTCGTGCGGTGCCCTGGGGGCCCGCGCGCCGGCCCCTCCCGTTGCCTCGTCGCGGCGCCTTGGGGGCCCGCGCGCTGGCCCCACCCGTCGCCTCGTCGCGGCGCTTTGGGGGCCCGCGAGCCGGCCCCTACCGTCGCCTCGTCGCGGCGCTTTGGGGGCCCGCGAGCCGGCCCCTCCCGTCGTTTCGTCGCGGCGCCTTGGGGGCCCGCACGCAGGCCCCTCCCGTCGCCTCGTCGCGGCGCTTTGGGGGCCCGCAAGCCGGCCCCTCCCGTCGCCTCGTCGCGGCGCCTTGGGGGCCCGCGTGCCGGCCCCTCCCGTCGCCTCGTCGGGGCGCCTTGGGGGCCCACGCGCCGGCCCCAACCGTCGCCTCGTCGCGGCGCCTTGGGGGCCCGCGCGCGGCCCCTTCCGTCGCCCGTCGAGCCGCCCTCGTGGGCCCGTGCGCGGCCCCCCTCCCGTCACCCGCCGTGGCGCCCTCGGGGGGCCCGCGCCCTGCTCCTTCGTGGCGCCCTGGAGACCGCCCGCCGCCTCCCTTTCCCTCCATGACCCGTCCCTACTGCTTCCCGCGCTCCTACCTGCGTTAGGGTTTGGGGGTGGCGGGTGTGGGGGTGGCGGTTGTGAGTTCCTCCCCTTGCTCCTCCTCCTCCCTCGTCTCCCACTGCTGCAGCTGCCGCTGAGGGGGGTGGGTGTGTGGGAGCCTAGGGTTTAGGGTTTAAGGGGGGTGCTGTGGGAGTGGAGCTAGGGTTTGAGCAGGGGGTGTGTGAGAGGGGCTTGGGGCAGCTGGGGGAGGTTGAGTGGAGGCAGCAGTCGTGTCGCCAGCAGCACCAGCAGTCCGGAGGCCACAATCTCCGGTAGTCGCCAGTCGCCTGTGGGTCAGTTGCTCCAGTCTGGAGGCTACAATCTCCGCGGAGCCAGTTACTCCTGTAGTCCGGGCCTTTGCTTCGGTAGCCACTGAGCCAGCAGCTCCTGTGTGTCTGCAGCTTCAGCAGTCGCCTCCCATCTTCTCTTCCCCACAGTCTCTCCTCCTCCTCACTTGCCCTCTGTGATAGCCTCTAGCTTTGCTTATCATTGTGAACTATTGCTCTATGCCTGCATGCTGTACTGATTATACCCCACTTTGACTATGGGGGTGTGTCAGAATATAATGCTTGTCTAGCCTGCAGTGGGGTACTCTATAGCGAGTACAGCCCCTTAGGGTTTCCTATTTGTATCCACCTGCTTGCTAGTGCAACCTCTCTCCTTTTGCCTATCTTCTCTTGCCTAGCTAGGTTTTCCCTAGCTATGGCTCCTCGTTCTAGCCACTATCTTAACAGCCACAACTTCGTCAGCTCCGACATTTTCGGCGGAGTACTGTTGCCGATGGTCTTGTTTTGTCGGGGCCGAAACAGTGTCGCATCCTTGACAATTTGTTTTTGAACGCCCAGCTGTCGAACCAGCGCCACCCACGCCTTTCTAACTAGCACAGGGCTAAAATACAGGGCCCCACCTTTTTCGTCCAGGTGCCAGCAGGACTTACTTATTGCCTTCGAGGCAACCTGGTGTGAGGTATGTGAAACGTCGGTAGACTTTGGCCGGTAGGGAGCTCGTTCTGCTACCACTGCTTAGCCGCGAAACTCGGCCTCAGCAAAAAGTCGTCGCAGTTGGTCGTTTTCTCCCCTCCCGAAGCTCGGAATCCGTTTCTCTCGCCAGACCCGTATTTATCGCAACTACGTTAATTACAGCCGGTAGACCAGGCGAAATTCGCGGGTCTAGACGCTGCGCCAAACCGTTGTCCCGTCAACGTACTGCCCTGTCTACGGCGCAACTTCCTTTGATTAGGGGGAACCTGTGTCGCCTGAAGTACAGTGTCGGCTGCTGCTGTTGCTCCGATTTTTTCGCCGATCTCGATTAAAAGTGACCCTAACGCGAACAGTCTAGTCGTAGGCGGCATTTTCTGATCTTTTCGGTGGTTTGAAAATAACTTCCATCCCACACTGTGCCGCTCCTGCCGAAAAACGCCCATGACGCACCCTAATGCAGCAACGCCAGCTGCGCCCGGGCGGGACGACGGTAGACCCCCTCTTTTTCGAGCAGTCGCCACGCAGGATCTTCGGTTTTTCCGACGCCACATCTTCTTCCGACTGTCGAAAGGCTAGGCAAGAATTAGAAACAGGAAAGAGGGTTTTTCACTAGCAGCAGTTCAGATACATATAGGAAACCCTAATTGGGTTGTACTCGCTATAGAGTACCCCACTGCAGGCTAGACAAACATCACATTCTGACACACCCCCATAGTCAAAGTGGGGTACAATCAACACAACAAGCAAGCAGAGTAATAGTTCACAAGGATAAGCAAAGCTAGAGGCTATCACAGAGGGCAGGTAAGGAGGAGGAGAAACTGTGGGGGCGAGAAGATGCGAGACGACGGCTGAAGCTGCAGACACACGGGCAACAGGAGTGCGCAGCACTGTCGCTACCAGGCTAAACCCGGACTACACGGCGACAGGCGCAGCTGGCTCGCTGTGCTCCTAGGAGTGCTCACACTGTGGCTACCGGGCGCAGAGCCCCGGACTACACGGCCACAGGGGGTCGTGGCTATCTGGATACCAGGAGTGCTCACACTGTGGCTACCGGGCGCAGAGCCCCGGACTACACGGCCACAGGGGGTCGTGGCTCTCTGGACTTCAGGCGCTGCGGACGACAAGACGACTGCCTCCACACAACTTCCCCCAGCTGTCCCACACCCTTTTCACACACTCCCTGCTGCACCTCTAGCACTGCTCACACGCCACCCCCCTCGTACCACTCCTACGGCTCCAACACATCCACCCCCCTCAGCGGCAGCTGCAGCAGTGGGAGACGGAGGAGGAGGAGGAGGAGCAGGGGACGGCTCACACACCCGGCACCCCCATACTCTCCACCCATAAACCCTAACACAGGAGCGCGGGCAGCAGCGGGGGTGGGGCGCGGTCAGAAGCTCGGGACGAACCGTACGCGGGCTGCCCGGGCCGCGCGCGGGCCTGGCGCAGCCCGTACGGGTCGCGCGCGGGCCTGGCGCAGCCCGTACGGGCCGCGCGCGGGCCTGGCGCAGGTCGCGCGGGCCGCGTCGGGCGACGGGGGGCGACGCGACGGTCGACAGGGGGCGACGCGCGGTTCGACGGGGCAGAAAACCGCCGCGCGCCCCGAACGCGCGGCGGGAAGAAAAATCGCTGCGCGCCCGGAGCGCGCGGCAGGCAGGAAACAGCACGCGCCCGGGGCGCGCTACAGGCAGTAGAGCAGCGGAAGCATCGGGTGGGGCCCACCCACAGGATCGACCCAGGAGGGTCGACCTGCTCTGATAGCATGTCGAAAGGCTAGGCAAGAATCAGAAACAGGAAAGAGGGTTTTTCACTAGCAGCAGTTGAGATACATATAGGAAACCCTAATTGGGTTGTACTCGCTATAGAGTACCCCACTGCAGGCTAGACAAACATCATATTCTGACACCGACATCTTCGGACGTGCACTGACGGAGATCCTGCCGACGTTAGCTGCCAAACAATTTAACTCCGAAGATGCCCAAACGAATACTGTTAACTCACGCAATTAATTGCGACGACAGCAAAAGCTATTCGCCACCCGGGGGGAGGGAGGCCACGGTCGATTTTAACCGTCGAGGGCAACGATCCGTCGGTGCTGTAGGAGCGCCTTTAAATTCATGGCCGCTAGGAGCAACTACCCGTTCTCCTGGCCGGCTCTTGCGCTGCTCCTGTTACCACGGCATCCTTCCCTGTCCCCCCCCCCCGAGGGGTAATACACTCTAAAAAACGGGAAGCTTGGAAAGTAGCTCTGATACCAAGTGTTATGGGTTGTACTAACAGAGTGCGCGGAAGACTTCTACAAAGAGAACGTGATTCCAACATCATGAAACAATGAAGAAAGCAAGCATTTATAGGGCGGAAACTAGCTAGGCGAGAACCTCGTGATGTGCGTGGCTCGGAAATGTCGCGATTGGTGATGGGCGACTCGAAAGTGGTTTGGGCCAAAATGTAGGCCGAACCTGAAATTGACGCGCAGTGTTTGGGGCTGTCCTCGCTAGGAGCAGCCTCTACAGTAATGAATTGTAGTTCATTACACAATCAGTCCGTAATTACTAAGTGCTACTAGCAAAATGTACATCACCATATAGAGTAGCCAGAAGGCAATTTTAATCCTCAGTCTGTAAGCCATGGTCCCAAAACAACTGCCAGCCAAATCTCAGGCCAGCTCAAGGTCACACTAATATTGTCACTACCAATGCCAATTTGCAGTTGGCATAAGCAGCCTAAGACACACATCCCAGTGGTTATCATCACCAAATGCAGTCTGAAGTGAGTCAGGAGGAGGAGCATGTTAGTCAGTCTTCAGGAGGAGGCGGGGCAGTGACTGGCATTTTGAGCTTCCAGCCTGGCTGGATGATGAAAAGGTCGTCGTCAATGGGAGTGTCGAATTTAGCCTTTTTGAAATAATGCCGATTCTCGTTCACAATGTCTGGCGCGGAGAGGAGGTGTCGGAGAAGGATGATGTGGGAAGGAGGGGAGGAAGGTGGATCACGGGAGTGAGAGAAGGGACAGATTGAGAAGCAGCCGAAAAGCTGGCCACAAAGGACACCAGAAAAAGGGGAAGCTCACGTAAAAAGAGTTACTAGCCAATCTGGCAAGCCCATAGCATGCCTTCAACTGTGCAGTTGGTGCCCGTGCCTGTCAGTTGTCAGCTGCTGCCCCACAGGCAGTCTACCCTTTTTCAAATCACATTGGAACAACCTTCTCGTTGACCTCTCCACACCCTACCCGCCTTTCCAGTTGGTGCCCGTGCAGCCAGCTGTCCGCTGATGCCCCACAAGCTGTGACTTTAGAGTCGACTCAAAAGTCACCCCGGTGTCCGTGCCAGTCAGCTGTCGGCTGATGCCCCACAAGCTGTCTTTCTCAGACCGAATCCTTCCGTTTGACCTCCTTCCACACAGCTCTCACCTTTCCAGTTGGTCCCCGTGCCAGTCAGCTGTCGGCTGATGCCCCACAAGCTGTCTTTCTCAGACCGAATCCTTCCGTTTGACCTCCTTCCACACAGCTCTCACCTTTCCAGTTGGTCCCCGTGCCAGTCAGCTGTCGGCTGATGCCCCACAAGCTGTCTTTCTCAGACCGAATCCTTCCGTTTGACCTCCTTCCACACAGCTCTCACCTTTCCAGTTGGTCCCCGTGCCAGTCAGCTGTCGGCTGATGCCCCACAAGCTGTCTTTCTCAGACCGAATCCTTCCGTTTGACCTCCTTCCACACAGCTCTCACCTTTCCAGTTGGTCCCCGTGCCAGTCAGCTGTCGGCTGATGCCCCACAGGCAGTCGCCCTTCTTCACTGTCGTTGCCACAGTCACCGTCTTGCGCTTGCCTATGCGGGGCACCTGCCATTGAGAGTAGCATAGGACAGACACAATGTAGGGGGGTTTGAGTAAGACGGGAAGGGTGGTTACCAAAAAGGGCATGGCGGATATTGAGGATACATGGCGGTTCCTGAAGGTAGAACGTGGTTTTCAAGACGTACATTTTCGTGACCAAGGAGTACACTGTGGTTACCAGAAATTGCATTATGGTTACCAGAGTGCACAGAGGTTACCAGAGTGCACGGAGGTTACCAGAGTGCACGGAGGTTACCAGAGTGCACGGAGGTTACCAGAGTGCACGTGTGGTTACCAGAGTGCACGTGTGGTGTGCACGGAGGTTACCAGAGTGCACGTGTGCAGGTCATTGCGAGGAGGCATGGCGCGAGGGTCCTCGCCAATGCGGTCCTGACACCCCTCGTACACATCTGAGACACCGCGGGGAACGGTGGGGAAGGGGAAGAGGGGGAGAGGGACGTAGGGGGACGGGTGAGGGTGGGGTTTGAGCCGACTTAGAACCCACGCAAATCCGTTCTTAATAATCAGAGGTACGTGCGCGGCCATTGCTTGGGATCGCTCCTCATGGCTTTGCTCCACGACCACAGCGTCGACTTGGCGGGACGAGCACGCGGAAGCGACAGGACGGCAATTCATCAAATGTGCAACAGATGAGCCCTGAGTATTTATGTACAGCACTTGGCAGGGGAAAAGGTACGTACGCGGCCATTGCATGGGATCGCTCCACATGGCCTTGCTCCACGACCACAGCGTTGACTTGGCCGGCCCGAGTCCCATATTCCCCTGCTGGTGGCCCCCCGCGCCGAACCTAAACACCCCGTCGCCTTGCTGCTGCTGCTGCTGCTGCTGCTGCTGCTGCTTCTGACGTGACTGCGGTTGCTGCTGCGGTTGCAGGTGCTGCTGCTGGGGCTGGCGCGACTGCTGATGCTGTTGGTACTGGGGGTGCTGCTGCCACGACCACTGGTGTTGCTGCTGCTGCTGTGGTTGGTACTGCGCTGGTTGGATGAACGCTTGGGTCTGCTGCGTTTGAAACGCCGTGTGCTGCGGCGGCGCATGCGGTTGGTTTGAGTGCTGTTGGAACGCGGTTGTGCTAGCGGAGGCCAGTGTACGGTTGGGATTGTGCTGGTGAGCTGTTGGATCATATCGACCGTCGGATCCGCGCGGAGTTTGCCGTTGCCGCGTGCGGATGAACAGCGGCCGGTGGCGCGGCGTGAGATCGCCGAGACCTGATCCGCTCGACGCCGTCGCGCCACTTTGAAACGGAAGCATCGCGCCACCCGATGTTAGTAGTGAAAGATGTTAGTAGTGAAAGTATATCCCTATCCCTACAGAGCTATACACGTGCATTCACTAGCGGAGGACCAGAAAGGATCAGGAACCGATGTTAGCAACAGAGCGCTTGCGACGAGTCACTACCGGAGGATCTGAAAAGATCGAAAGAGGCGACAATTGACGATCCGCCGAGGTCAGCAGCAAGTGAACGTGGATCAGAGTAGGAGCAGCTGATGAACCAGAGGAGCCACTCCCAACCCAACTGGAGCTTCGATTTGAATGCACGAAAACCTATGGAAGCTAGCTGGGCGCAAAAATGGCGCAAACCAGCAAGTGTGTTTGCCAGACTAAATTCCCCTCCTCTGCCCCCATATGTTCTCCGGCTGTACGGAAGCGGAGAAATGGCGCGAAAACACCAATGGTCAGCAGCACCTCAAAAACCTGAACCTCTTCTCAGAGACTCGGCTAAGGTTTGGTTCAGTCCGTGCCTGACATATTTACTGTTTGTGCTTCAGATCTTCTGCCGAGGCTGGATCACTGGCCGGTATGGTGGGTTTGGAGCAGACCAGGTGAAAACTTTCCTACCGCTCTGCAAACCAGCAAGCACCTGAAACAACTACTAATGAAGCTTACAACTCTACATATGCTGTTAAATTATATAGGATGGAATGAAATGCTAAAATATATATTTCCTCTTAAATGCATCAATATAACTTCTGAAACAGAGCTTTGCATTTCTACTCAATTCTACCATATAACATGTAAAAAATTCTCTGTCCACCCTCAGTGTAGTAGGTAGGAAGCGTCTGATTGACGCCAATCGAAAACCTAGAATGCTTCTGGCATCCCGCCATTTCCGCTCAGTTATTTCTCTGTTTGCTCGTCCCAGCGTTCTAGCCCTGTTGCTGCAACTTGAAACGCTTCGAAGTCGTTTTTCCTCACTCGGCCCTTCCTTCGCTTATGTTGACGCGGATGGAGGTATCCGTGTTTCAGCAATGGGAGCGCGTCATAGCACACTTCGTAAGAACGATTTTTCTCAGTAGATCAAAGCCGTATCCTGCAGCCAAAAATAGTAGAAGTCGATTAGAATCAGGAAAATTTTCAGCTATGGGACCGCGTCGTAGCGCATGTGTTGAGATAGCTCATCCTGCTCAGTTTTCGAGACTTGCTCAACTCGCTTTCGGCTCTCTTCTTGATCCGTCGCTCGCCGTGGCAGGACCTTGACTGTTTCTATGCACAGGTGGAGCAGCAGAGACGGCCCGAGCTGAAGGACAGGCCTCTAGGCGTCACGCAGGTGAGCGTCAGGACTATTGATTTTTCCCCTCAAAACCAGTGGCATTTTTTCACAATCGATGTGACTTTTGAGTCGACTCAAAACTCGCCTCTAGGCGTCACGCAGGTGAGATTCAAGACTGTTGATTCCCCCCCTCAAAGCCAGTGTTATTCTTTCACAGTCTGCGTTTTGATTGGAGGTTCCAATAGGGAGCTTGGTTTGAAGCAGAGCGGCCTTGTGCACGCGCCAAAGTTTTTTTGCACTACAAAACCGTTTTTTTTTTTTTTTTTTTTTTTTTTTTTTTTTTTTTTTTTCCTTCATGGCAGAAATTCCTGGTGGTGACTGCCAATTATGCCGCTCGAGGTCGAGGAGTCCCCAAGATGGCCTCAATTGATGATGCTCGAACCAGGCAAGCAAGGGGAGGCAAGTACAGCCTAGGGGAGAAGGCTGTGATAATGTAGACCTTCATGTTCAGGCAAGGTGTGTACAGTGCAGGGATGATGGGTACAGTGAGCGCAGGTGATTATTGAATAGATCTTTCTAAAGAGATTTTGTCAGTTGAATCAAAGCAGAATTATTGTGCTGAGTTTATATTAGGTGCTTGGGCATGTAGACGTACAGGTGGTTGTGTGTTTATGAGCTAACCACACGTGTGATGTCCCCTCCCCTGGACCCTGCTTTAGCCAGGTGTCCAGAATTGTGCTGGCCAAAGGGGAGGATCTCACACCCTTCAGAGCAGCCGTACTGGTGGTTGTGTGTGCTAAACTAACCACGCGTTTCATGTCCCCTGGCCCCTGTTCTACGCAGGTGTCCAGAAATCGTGCTGGTCAATGGGGAGGACCTCACGCCCTACAGGCAAGCCAGCAAGAGGATCTTCTCTGTCCTTGCTCGGTTCGGAACCCTCGAAAGGTGCTCACGTTTTCTCTTCATGTTATTCCCACGATTATGTTCCCGAGGAGGATAGGATTCTTCTCCTTATTTTACTGTCGCGTTCAGGCCCTTCTTGCTTCCCCCCCCAGTTCCTCTATTCCCCTTTTGAGTCGACTCTCATGAGTCGACTCAAAAGTCACCTCATGAGTCGACTCAAAAGTCACCTCATGAGTCGACTCAAAAGTCACCTCATGAGTCGACTCAAAAGTCACCACGTTCAGGCCCTTCTTGCTTCTCCCCCCAGTTCATCTATTCCCCTCCACCTACTCGCCCCGTCCTTCACTCCCGCGCTCTCCTCCCTTCTCCCCCACCCCCTCCCCCGTCTCATGCATCATGTGGTCTTATGATAACCCCCGCCCGCGTGGCAGGCTCGGATTGGACGAGGCGTTTGTGGACCTTTCACCTCAAGTGGCCGCCATGGTGGCAGCAGGAAGCTTCAAGGAAGGCTTCCTTGGGCATGTGGAGAGGGGTGCAGCAACAGGAGGAGGAAAAGGAGGAGGGGCAAGTGAGATTGATAGGGAAGGCGGACGAGGAAGTGAGGAGAATGGTCATGATGATCGTTGTCTGTTTCTGGGGCCAGGAGAGTGCCACTTGGCAGCAGGCAGTTGGCTGGCCGGCGAGGCAAGGCGAGCAGTGGAGGAGGAGACCGGGTACCAGATGTCATGTGGCGTGTCACACAATGTGAGTGACGTGGGTTGCTGGGGTAGTGCCACCTGGCAGCAGCCATTTGATGTGGGGGGCGTAACTACCTGCATTCTTGTGAGACGGGGTACCAGATGTCATTTGGCGTGTCTCATTGTGGGAGTCGCGTGCCTGCCGCTGTCTTGTAATGTGAGCGCGTTGTCGCATAATGTGAGTGGCATATTTCGAGTCGGCTCAAATTACGCCTGGGCCAGCGCTGGAGGAGGCGACGGGGTACCAGATGTCATGTGGGGTGTCGCGTAATGTGAGTGCGTGTTTTAAATGCCTCTGGTTTTCCGTGCCATCGGTCTTTCATTCCTTTATTCTTCTCACGACATCCCTTCCTTTTTCTCCTATCTTTCTTTTTCCAACCCTGCTTCCCAGAAAATGCTAGCCAAGCTTGTGAGCTCCCGCCACAAGCCCAATGACCAGACGACACTTGTCGCGTCCGCAGCCGTGGATTTCATCTCCAATCTGCCCGTCCGGAAGGTACCAGGTGTCGGCAGGCGATTGGAGGAGCAGCTTGCCTCGAGGGGTGTGACTGTAATGAAGGGTCTTCTCGCCTTCACCCTTCAAGATCTGCAGATGTGGTAAGCCAGCCTTGTCTGTGTGTGCGAGATTGGTAGGCGAGATCGGTAGGCGAGATTGGTAGGCTAGATTGGTAGGCTAGATTGGTAGGCTAGATTGGTAGGCGAGATTGGTAGGCGAGATTGGTAGGCGAGATTGGTAGGCGAGATTGGTAGGCGAGATTGGTAGGCGAGATTGACTGGTTGAGTTGGTGGATTAGATCGGCTTCCTAGGTGGACACCTTAGGTTGACACGCTTTTTAGATAGACATTTCACTAATTCCTGTGTGGTTTTATGGGTGTGCGTGCACGTGGGTAAGCTTGTGTGTGTGTGTGTGTGTGTGGTTGTATGCGTGTGTGGGAGCGTGATTTCACGGGGATGTGTGTGAGTGTCCTTTTCGCTCTCCACTGCCAGGCTCGGCCCGAAGCTGGCGCCATTCCTCTTTGGTGCGTGCCGAGCCTACGACCCCACACCGGTGACATGCAAGGGACCAGCCAAGAGTGTGTCTGTGGAAGACTCGTTCCCGCCCATCCACTCCCTTGCACAGGCTAAGGTGCGCCATTTGTATTTCGACTCTTAAAGTTCAATGTATGTAGGTAACAGGGTAACAGGCAGGCCTGAGCGAGACCATCTTCAGTGACATGCAAGGGACCAGCAAAGAGTGTGTCTGTGGAAGACTCGTTCCCGCCCATCCACTCCCTCGCACAGGCCAAGGTGCGTAGATCTGTGCTTGGAGTTACACAGGCGTGTCATGTGTGCTTAGATTTACGCAGGTGGCAGGTATTCCTGAACCAACACCTCTAGTGGCATGCAAGGACCCAGCCAAGAGAGTGATTGTAGAGAATTCCTTCCCTTCCATCCACTCCCTCGCACAGGCCAAGGTCTGTAGAGTGGATGTCTAGAAAAAAAGAAAATTCAGACAGCCAACGTCCTTCTCCTCACCCGTTGCCTCTCTAACCCCCGGCCCATCGTGCAAAGCCTGCTGCCTGACCTGCTCGCTGTGTACGCACCAGCACATAATGAAATGCCGATATTTCTTTTTCCTGTCCCCTCTGCCTCTGTACGCACCAGCCTATCGTGCACAGCCTGCTACCTGACCTGCTCACTCGCATAGACGAGGAGTGGGAGGAGACAAGGAGACGACCAAAGACGTTCACTGTCAAATGGAGGAAGAGAGAGAAGGAGTACCGGTGAGGGGGCTGTAGGGTGAAGTGGTATATGAGTTCTAATGAAGAATGAGAAGGTGGTAAGGATGAGAGGGGGAAAAAAAAAAAAAAACGCCCTCTCTTTTTGTCTCCCGATCTCTCTATCTTGTAAAACGAGTGTGCTTTGGAGACATCGTGTTTTTGAGACGTCTCAATAATACCTTCTCTTGTTGTCACTGATCTCTCTATCTTGTCCGCCCTCCACACGGTACGTTCACATCTGCCTCGTGCCCCTTGCCTGTGCAAACGTTTTCCCCGTTCCCCTCGTCCCACGTCTTTTACCCCCTCATCACCACCATTCGCCCTCCAGGTTCACCTCTGCCTCGTGCCCCATGCCTTCCCAAGCCCTCTCTCCCTCCACCCCTCCCGCCCTCCGCGTTTCCTCTCTCCTCCGCCTCGCCTCCTCCCTTCTCTCCCGTGCCTTCACTTCTCCTTCAGCTGCAGCTGCCACTTGTAGCAGCAGTAGAACAGAAGCTTCTGAGTTACCTTCTCTTCCAGCAGTGGCCAGCTCTACTGCTGCTGCCAGTTGTGATGCTCGTGATTCCGCATTTCAGGTCCTCCCAGTGCTGGTGATCAACGTGGGTGCCACGAATTTCCTCTCCTCCTCCCCCCAGCAGCCCGAGTGTGGGCAGCCAGGGAGTGCTGCTGCTGCTGGGGGCCTGCAGCGGTGGCTGAAGAAATCACACAGTACAGACACTGGGAATGCTGGTGGAGGGGACCTGCAGCAGTGTCTTGAAACACACAGAACAGACACGGGAAGATTCAATGCTGGGGGCCTGCAGCGGTGGCTGAAATCACACAGTACAGACACTGGGAATGCTGGTTCTGGGGGTCTGCAACAAGGCATCAAGCCACACAGAACCGACACTGGGAGTGCTGGTGCGGAGGGGCGGACGGTACAGGGAGGAAGGGAGCAGAGAGTTGGGAGATGGGAGGAAGATGAGATGAGAGGGAGGGATGTGATAGAACGTGGAGAAAGTTGGTGCTCGCAGGTGCTGCCACCAGAGAGGGTTCCTGCTGGGAGTATGGATCGGAGTATGGATCGGAGTATGGATCGGAGTATGGATTGGTGGGTGGATCGGTATGTGAAGCCACAAGGAGGAGGTTTAGGGGAAAGCAAGCAGGGAAATGGGAGAGGAGAGGAAGATGAGATGAGAGGGAGGGATGTGATAGCACGTGGAGTGAGTGGTTGCCCTCAGGCTCTGCCACTGCGGAGGGATGCTGCTGCTGCTGGGAGTATGGATCGGTGGGTGAAGCCGCGAGGAGTGGGCGCAGGGTATTTTGTACAGCGGGAAAGGGAGCAGAGAGATGGGAGAGAGGAGGAAGATGAGATGAAAGGGAAGAATGTGGTACTCGGTGCTGAGAAGAGATGCTCGCAGGTGCTCCCACTGAGGAAGGCTGGGAGTGGGTACTTGGATCGGTGGCTGGGGCCTCGAGTGGGTTCTAGGAAGATGGGAGAAGAGGAGGAACTGGTGACGCAGGGAGGGGTGGCGAAGGCTGATATTGTTGAAGTGGAGGAGAGAGTGAGGGATGGAGAGGGGGGGAAGGTGAGGGATGGTGATGAGGATAACTATGCTCAGGTGATGCATAATGGTGGGTGTGTTGCAGAAGTGGTTCAAGGCTGGATGGCTGTCAACGAGGGTGGAGGGGGGATGTCGTATCAGCCTGCAGATTTGGACCTTGGTGCGGAACGTGCAACCGTTTATGACGCTGCGTGTGCGACCGCGTGTGACACGTGGACGTCGAATGGCATTGCATGCAATAATATGTGGAGGTGCGAGGAATGTGGGAAGCTGGTTCAGGCCGAAGGGGTGGAGGAGCATCGTGACTATCACTTTGCTTTGAGGCTGGAAGCAGAGGAAAACGGGGTGGCCAAGAGCTCAAAATTAGACCGCCCTTTGAAGAGGGAGATGGCAATTGCCGAGGGCAAGCACACTCAGACAATGCAAACCAAGCGTTCTAAATCGGAGAGAAAGTTTTTGGGTGGCCCTGGAAAGGGAAAGGCAGACCGTAATGCCACTTTGGATGGATTTGTGTCTCGCCAGAGTGTGCTTAAATGAATCAGCGTTGTAGATCCTCGATTTTGTTTTCATGTTGATGGTTCCTTTTGCGCACTTCCCAAAACTTTACATGTACGGGTTTCCAAGTCTTGTGATTGATTATGATGTGCGTGTTCACTCATATCGAAATCGTACTATGACGTCTTCCAGATTTTGCGCGAATGAGTTGCCAAATCAGCGATTTCAGCCAGCGTCAGCAAAGGCCTATGGCCAATTAGCTGGCAGCACGCGGGACTGGTTTGCGTGGGACACCCCCTTCGCCAAGAACCTGGGTCGGGGGGACGTCGCGTCGCCGTGCCTTGCGTGCGCACGACATTTGTGAGCAATTGAGGAAATAATTGCGCAACGCGACGTGTTTCACATTTTGCTCAATCCTGTGGACTAACCTCGCACCGCGCTCCCCATTTTTTAAATTCTCTCAATCCCCTGGAGCGCAACTTGCTCTACACCCGCTTTTACGGTCTGGTCTGACTGCGTATTTTTTTATCAGCAATTTCGGATCCCTTTGATTTCTTGTTTTTTGGTGAGAACACATTTGACGATATCCATATGCAATAAATGCAACCCCTTTGTACGAGTTGTCATTTTGTGCAGTTGCATTAATGATTCAAAATGGTCGTGCTGACAAAACGGGTAAATACTTGAGGGCTAGAATGATTCAAAAAAATACAAAGTCGTATTATAGTATACATTAGGACCAGCCGTAATGAGGCAACGGGACTCTTGCATCGGACTAGAAAATATTATAGCATAGACTATACTTCTCAAATGTAGCAAAAGACGGTTATTTTCAACCCAAAAATTCACAGGCATGTTCAAATAGGTTTTGTGTGTTGCCTCACGAAATGCAATTTTGCAAAATTATGCAAGAACACATAGTATTTCTCTTTAATTAAATCTCTTAGAAGTGTGAAACAGTTTATTATTAAGGTCAGTTTCTTTTTCAGTTCCGAATATGATTGAAAACTATGTCATATTGAAGATATATAACACCTTGCATAACCTTATAGCCTTAAAAAACAATTGGCTGAACGGTTATTGCGTATTCAGGGTAAACCATGCCTGGCTAAAGAATGTGTCGTCCAACAAATCCGACACAAACTTTGTCGAGAGTGTTTATGCAGTTATCACGAAAGCGCATGTAGAAGTCCATAAGATTTAGAAATATCAAAAATCGGGTAGCGCGGTGCGAGGGTAGTCGACAGGATTGAGCAAAATTCGAGAGTCGTCGCGTCGCGCGATTATTTCGCAATTGAGGAACATGGGGACGTCGCTCCCTGGGAAATGCAACATTGCGTCTTGAAATTGGCGCGGCTCGATTGGAACATCCTCCAATCACAGCGTTACGTCCCATCGGTTCTTGATCCTCCCAGCCCAGGAGGAACCTCTCGTTCACCCGGAAAAATCACGCGACTCGACGGTTTTCGGATTTGTGTCAATCCTGTCGACCACTCGTGCACCACGTCAGCACTATTTTGAATTCCAAAAATCCGATCGATCCTACAATTTTTTACGCGGTATGGTTTACATTTTTGCGGTTGGGAGTGGGTGTGTCACTAAAGGTATGTAACTTTCTCGAGAATGGTGTGGCTAGTGCTCTGTAACTTCCCGCATGATATAATTTTGTCGTGGTGTATCTCTGCACAGTAAACACGCCGGTGTCGTGTAGGTAGTGGTTTAGATATTGCGATTTGGTCCTTCCCGCAGTCAATGCCACCTCGAGTAATTATATGGGTAGTCACAGTTAGGCCCGATTTATCACGGGGGTATCACGAACAGTCACAGTACACCTCGTAACTATCGTGTTGATCACAGTGCTATCATGGATAGTCACACCTTGCCCCGCAAGTCTATCACGTTTGGTCAAAGATGAAACGCCCAATCGAGAATTGTAACTACTCGAGTCACTGTAGGGATTCAGGGAAAATTTTATCGCGCGCGCCGTTTTGTCCGTAGTATCACGTAAAAGTTTCGCGACAACTCTCGGTAACTCGTTAAAAAAATCTGCAATTTCTTCTTTACTAACGAATGTCCACTGTTCGATCGATGCATAATGTCCCTAAGAATATCACTTTTAGACGGGTGAAACACTAAGATTAATATTTGTTTCCCAATACAAAACTAAATTCCATTCGGATGGGATATAATTCGGAAGCATCAACCCTAAACACCTTGTCGCATAGTGTTTAGGGTTGATGCCTCCCGAAGGACGTGCCATCCAATAGGGGTTTATTTTTTTTCTTCAGTTCCCTAAATGTCAGGGCTAGAATAATGCGCGAGGTAACAAGCAATCAAGGTTGGGATTCCCCAAAATTGCTACTGTTTCTTTCGTTGTTTCAATTTAATTGTGATCGTTTCATCGAGTGACCAAACGTGATAGCTTTTCGGCGGGGGGGGGGGGGGGGGGGGGGGTGATCATCCGTGATAGCACTGTGACTGTTTGTAACACCCCTGTCTCCAAGCGCAATAAAACGGGCATAATTGTGACCTCCTTTATAATTTCCCATGCAACCTCTGTTTCTGCTCGTCGCCTTGTTCAAACAGAAGCGCGTAATCATTGTAGGTATATCGCACCAACTTATACACGTATTCTTACTCTGCAAAACGCGACAGAATCTACCACCCACAAACCTACGAATTAAAAAAATACCCTAACGCAGTAGTTATATTTGAGACAGAGTGACAAATTCGTGCTTGCAAGTGTAGAAAAAGGCTCGGTCGATCGGATTTTTGGAATTCGAAATAGTGCTGACGTGGTGCACGAGTGGTCGACAGGATTGACACAAATCCAAAAACCATCGAGTCGCGTGATTTTTCCCGTTCACCCCCTCCACCCCACTCTCGAGAACGGGGGTGCCTGGATGATAGCGCCCCGCAAGAAAAGCGCACCTTGGGTTGGGAGCTGCTGCACTTCCGCCGGTTTTGAAAATCTCCCCCTCTCCCCCCCCTCCCTCTCTCCGGGGGCTGCGAGCGCCTTGCGCTGCTCTCCGCTACAGTAACGTGTAAGGTGTTCTTTCCGCGTCTGTCGTCATCCGCGTTGGACAAACCCTTCCACCAACCACCACTAGCGAGGCAAGTGGCTCCATGAGAGCACCGCCAGCAGCACTCCCCATCGCGTAAAAACTTCCCGCCTCGCTCTTCTCACTTCATCCCAACTTCTTCTCCCATGAACTCTCCTCGGCTTTCTGAAATATAAAGAACCTGAGTCCGGCACGGAAACGCGCTTTGCTCCCTTTCTTTCTTTCTTTATTTCTTTCTTTCTTTATCCTCCCAAGATATTCTCGCACGCGTGACCACTCCACGCCACCCAAGTTCTTGCCTCTCTACGACGACCAATCGCGCCGCGCCTCATTCTTCGAATAGATTAAGACTCTTTCCGGAGTTACCCTCGCAAATCGAACTCAAACATGGATCAGATGCTCGGATGCCTCCAGGTGGACCAATCAACGGTCGCGATGGTCGAGCATTTCGGGCGGTTCGTCCGCGCGCTCGACCCGGGCTGCTATTGCGTCCCCTGGTGCTGCTGCTACCGCACCGCGGGGCTCATGAGTCTTCGCATCAATCAACTCGACGTGCGCTGCGAGACTAAAACGAAGGACAACGTTTTCGTGACAGTCGTCGCGTCTATTCAGTATCAAGCCATCCGCGAGCAAGTCGAAGACGCGTTCTACCGCCTCGCCGACCCGCAGGCGCAAATCCGCTCCTACGTCTTCGACGGTACGTGCACAACATTGCGCCTTGGATTTTCCCCTGTCTTGCTTCTCCCTAATTCCCCTTCCCCGCTTTCCCCCACCTACCCCTCCCTCTTTCCCCCTCCTCTTCCCGCTCCCCTCCTCTTCCCGCTTTCTCTTTTTTTCCTTATCTTTTTTTCCTTCTCTTTTTTCCCTTCTCTTTTTTTCCTTCTCTTTTTTCCTTCTCTCTTTTTCCCTTCGTCTGCATCATGAACTCGGCAGTGTCAGTTTTTTGTTTCTCCAAAGAACAAGTTTGCGCCAAACCGGCTCTGCGTCTTCTCTTCGTGCCCTGCTTCACCCGCACTGCGCATTTCCCTGTTCCCTCATTCCCTCGCTTCCCCATCACTGCTTCCCCGTCTTTTCTTTCCCCTCTCTCCCTTCCCGCCTTCGCCCTATTCGATTGGTGTCCGCTCAGTTCTGCGAAGTAGCGTACCCAAGATGGACCTAGACGGGGTCACGTTCATTTCCCATCTTTCCGTCCCCTCAATCCCCTCCCTCCCCTCCCCTTATCTTGCCCTTTAATTTTGCCATCGCCAATTTAATTGTTGTCCGCGCAGTCGTGCGCAGCAGCGTACCCAAGATGGTCCTGGACGAGGTGTTCATATCCCAACTTTCCGTCCCCTTACTCCCCCCCTCCTCCTTCCCCTCCCCACCTCTTGCCCCATTCGTTTCTGCCACCGCCCTATCTGTTCGTCTCCGCGCAGTCGTGCGAAGCAGCGTACCCAAGATGGACCTGGACGAGGTGTTCATATCCAAGAACGAGATCGCGCAGAACGTGGAAAAAGAACTCGAAAAGGTTCGACTCCTTCCCCGCGCCCCACGTCCCATGCCACATGCCACATGCAACGTGCCCGTACCCCAACTCTACATGCCCTTTGCCCCATGCCACGTTCCACGTGCCCGGGCCCCAATTTTACATGCCCCTTGCCCCTTGCCCCATGCCCCATGCCACATGCCACATGCCACGTTCCACGTGCACGGGCCCCAATTTCACATGCCTTGCCCCATGCCACATGCCCTTAGCCCCATGCCCCAAACCACATGCCCTTTGTCCCATGCCCCAAGCCACATCCCCCTTGCCCCATGCCACATGCCCTTTGCCCCATGCCCCATGCCCCATGCCCATGCCATCTGCTATATGCCCCACGCTCCATACCTCCATGCCCTAATCCCCATGCTTGATGCCCGTCTGTTAATATTCCCAATGCCCCCATGACCTCAGGCCATGCACGACTATGGCTACCGCACCGTGCAGACGCTGATAGTGGTGCTAACACCCTAAGTGTGTGGCTTCCATACCCCGTTCCTCGTCCCCCATGCCGCATACCCCAATTTCACATGCCCCAATCCACATGCCCCTTGCCCCATGCCACATGCCACATGCCCCCATGCCCCAATCCCCCCATGCCCCAATCCCCATGCTTGATGCCCGTCTGTTGATATTCCCAATGCCCCCATGACCTCAGGCCATGCACCGCATCGTGCAGACGCTGATAGTGGTGCTAACACCCTCGGTGTGTGGCTTCGATACCCCGTTCCTCGTCCCCCATGCCGCATACCCCAATTTCACATACCCCATGGCCTCAGGCCATGCACGACTATGGATATCGCATCGTGCAGACGCTGATGGTGGTGCTAACACCCTCAGTGTCTGGCTCCCATACCCTCTTCCTCGTACCCCCCATGCCACATACCCCATGGCCTCAGGCCATGCACGACTATGGCTACCGCATTGTGCAGACGCTGATCGTGGACGTGGAGCCGGATGAGCGAGTCAAGGTCGCCATGAACGAGATCAACGCAGGTCAGTGAAGGTCAACGCAGGTCAATGGAAGTCAATGCAGGTCCGTAACTATCCATCATGCAGGCGCTGATAATGGACGTGGAGCCAGACGGGCGAGTGATGGTCGCCATGAACGAGATCAGCGCAGGTCAATGAAAGTCAATGCAGGTCAGCGAGACAACACCGAACAATGGAAGACAATGCAGGTCGGTAAAGTCAACGCAGGAATGTAGGTCAGTGTAAGTCAACACAGGTGAACCCGTGTTAGGCCAAGCCATGACCATGAGTCACGTGTGCCTCCTCACCCTTCCCCCTCTCCCCCCCCCCTCCCTTCCCCCTTTCCCCTTCTCCTCCCTCGCTTCTCCCCATATAGCCCAGCGCATTCGGCAGGCGACACAGGAGAAGGCGGAGGCGGAGAAGATTCTGCAGGTCAAGAATGCACCTCTCACTCTCTCTCCCCACACCCCTCTCTCTGCCCCACCCCTCTCTTTCCCCACACCCCTCTCTTTCCCACTCCCCATGCAGCCCAGCGCATTCGGCAGGCGACCCAGGAGAAGGCGGAGGCGGAGAAGATTCTGCAGGTGAAGAAGGCGGAGGGAGATGCCGAGGCTAAGTACCTCGCTGGCGTTGGTGTGGCTCGGCAGCGACAGGTACGGTAGTGGATAGATGGTAGACAGGTACGGTAAGTTATTACTGGTCAGCCAATCAATTCGCCTTTCACTCACTCCCTTTGCCATTACGCAACTTTAATCCCATCACACATTCCCTTCATCCCTTTGCACCCCTTTTAACTATTTTACACACTCCAGTAAACCCTGACCTGCATTGATTATGGGCTATGGACTTTTGTGCCGACTCACAAGGCAGCTCGTCACCCCTTAATAACCCTTTCAACCACTCTAGACCTTCCACTCAACCCTGACACCCATCTGCACTCGTGGCAGGCCATCGTGGATGGGCTGCAGGAGAGCGTGATTGGATTCTCCTCGCAGGTTCCTTACACCCCTTGGCAACTATTCAACCCCTTTCCACATTCCCCTCAAACCACATTCCCCTCAACCATCAGCACATTCATGGCAGGCCATTGTGGATGTGCTGCAGAAGAGCGTGATGGTTGACATCGAGTCAACTCAAAGTCAACTTACAATGTCGCATTCTCCTCAAACCACATTCCCCTCAACCATCTGCACATTCATGGCAGGCCATTGTGGATGTGCTGCAGAAGAGCGTGATGGTTGACATCGAGTCAACTCAAAGTCAACTTACAATGTCGCATTCCCCTCAAACCACATTCCCCTCAACCATCTGCACATTCATGGCAGGCCATTGTGGATGTGCTGCGGAAGAGCGTGATGGTTGACATCGAGTCAACTTACAATGTCGCATTCCCCTCGAACCACATTCCCCTCAACCATCTGCACATTCATGGCAGGCCATCGTGGATGGGCTGCGGGAGAGCGTGATGGGATTCTCCTCGCAGGTTCCTGGAACCACCGCCAAGGACGTGCTTGACATGGTGAGATACAGGGCAGCGGTTGCGTTACTGGGGTTGCCATGTGTATAGAAGGTATTTTTGAGACATCTCAAAAATACCCTCTATACACGTGGTTCCTGGAACCACCGCTAAGGACGTGCTTGACATGGTAGCGATTGCATTCACTGGGGTTGACTTGCATTGACTTAACCCCTGATATATACCTTCAATTGTACAATCTCTCCTATTCTGTCCATCTTTTGCCTTTACCCCATCGGCTTCGTATGATTTGTTCCTTTGTTGCTTACATCGCATTGTATCTCATTTTTCCTGCATCGCCTTCTATTCCCCTCTTTTGCACATTTCACTACTTCCCCAGGTAATGCTGACTCAATATTTCGACACAATGAGGGACATAGGAGCCAACAACAAGTCTTCCACTATTTTTATTCCACACGGGCCAGGAAACGTGGGTGACATTTCCGCACAAATAAGGGATGGCCTCACTCAAAGTATTGTGGCCTCTAAGAATGTGTAGCTTGCTTGCTGCAGTTCGTGTGCGTACCCTTAGCGTGCACATCTCCCTAGTGTTCTTTTTATTTGTCCATTGTGTCCTTGTGGAATAAATCCGTGTCATGTGTAGCCAGTCTTGGTGAGCATTGTGTCCACATGACTAATACGGTAGCTGCCAGAGACTTCTGAGACATATGAGCAAAAAACGATTCTTGTCATTTTGCCATTCCTGGTTGAGCTTGTTGTCCATTCATCTGTAACTCCAGTTGCCTTCAATTCTCATGCTCCTCAATCCATAGCCACCTGCACCCACCGTTGCTTCCGCCACCTACGCCCTAGCTCGGAACTAATTGCAAACCAATTGTTCACGATAACCTGCTTTGACCCTGACTTGCAGTTGTGTTATTCGCGTTTGTGCTAGTTGTGCTATCAGTTTTAACAGCCCTCCTTGTAAGCAGACAGCCTTTGCTGAATTGTACAGTGCGCCACAGAAAGCTCAATTGCAGAATGCTGGCTATTATTCTCTGATTCACGGAAACTGAGCGGACAACACTTGCCCGCATCGAATCTTCTGATTCCCCTCCCCACACCTCAAGCCACCGCCGCAACTCTTCTGACCATTCCACCCCACACAACCTCGACCCATCTCCCTCACCTGCCTTCCACGAATCTCCGACCTGCAGGTCAGACTCGAACACATGCCTCCCATTCGTCCATCCAAACCAACCCTACGTCACAGCGACCATACGGACAAATGAGTGCTGGCCAAAGAACTTCCGTGCGACACATCCAACTGTCCGTTTGATCTAGTCGTTGGACCCTTTCGCGACTGGTCAAGGTGGGGGAATGTGTAGCCAATGAGCGTCCCTGCTTCCCCCCAATTGGAATGATGTAACGACGGTATGCCAGGCTGGTTTGCCTCGGTCCATGGAAGTTCAGCAGCACCCTGGGAAGATAGTCGTCACAGGCCGGACATCCAAAAGCTAACTGTAGGGGGGTGCTCCTCACACCAGGACTCCAGTCCGTGAGGAGAGAAATTCACCAGACCAGGCTTTTTCCTTCAATTGTAATTGGAACAAGAACTAGCGTGTTTCATGTTGGGGATATAATGAATCAGATGCAATTAAAAATCCTGGAAACATACACTAGCATGGCAGAGATCCTATGGTAGCACCATGCTACACTCCCCCACCATGCGGTTGCTAATTTCGTACAAAACCTCGCAGCTTCAGCTCCGAGGCGTTCTATGGTTAGAATGGCACGGGCGCATCTAAACTGGAAAACCAAGCAAGGCTTCTCTACAGCAAGTCCCCCAACACAAGGGAGACACCTCCACCATCAGTGGTTCAAGAGTACGCAAACGTGACGTTATCAAGAGTGTGAGGTCGGTTTGCTAGTTGGTCGAGGTCACGAACGATCCGGAACACCGCGTCGGGTCGGGCTAATCGGTGAGCATTCGTTGCCATCCGCTTAAATTGATCCACCTTGGGTCCAAACCAGTCGGCCACTATGTGAGCGATCTTTTGAGGATTCTCCTCAAACAACCCAGCCCCGTTCTTGACAACGAAGGGAACATTGCCAGCTTCCTGTAACAAGGAACAAAGGAACAGAAAAGAGAGAAGGTGAACAGGCAGTACAAAAAAGGAGCTAAACAGGGACAGAGCAGCAAACACATGTGATTAAAAAGCCACTGCTGAAGAGAGAGATTTGAAGGTACACTGACCTGGCCAGCAATGAAGCCATTCAAGATCATGGGTAGGCCTTTGATCATTGACTCAGCAATGGTGCCAGGTCCAGCCTGTACAGGGACACAAAAAAAGATGGGACATGGGAGGGAGTGACAGGATGAGAACAATGCTAGAAAGAAGCAGATCAAGTGAGATGCAAAACAAATAGAGTGGGCAAGAACCATATTTGCAGCTCCAGTGTATCACTTATACACACCTTGCTGATGACACAATCTGAAGCTGCCATGACTTCGGGAATGTTGGTAACCACACCCTTGATCTGCGTCGGCATGGGCCACGTCATGGCTTCCAGGGTCGCCTGCAGCTGCTTGTTTCTCCCGCAAATCACAATCAGCTGTCCCTTCGCTCTCCCGCCTGGCATTTCCGGCGCCAGTGTTGTCGCCAGAGCCCTGGCGGTCACCTCAACTGGGCCCATGCCTTCGCCTCCGCCAATCAGCAGCACCGCTGGCAGTTCCGGGTCCATGCCTAGTGATTGTCGAACCTCGGCCTGAGGCCCCGAAGGCTTGGCGAAGGCGGGGCGGATGGGGAGCCCGTGCACCCGGATTTGCGATGGCTGAAGTCCGGCTTTAAGTGCCTGTTGCGCGACTTCCTTCGTCGGGCAGAAACAAACGCTGACTTGTCTGCTGAACCACGTCGGATGGCAGGTGGTGAGATCCGTGACTACAGTGATGAACGGGATGCGGTGTAGAAGGCCCCTCGATTTAAGCACACGCAGCGGAATGTGCTGCATCAACGGGTGCACGCTTACAATCACGTCCGGCTTGTATTTATCCAACCCCTTGGACACCGTCCGCGCCACAAACGCAAACGTCGCCGCCATCTGCGGCTGATGCACGAACTTGGGCTTCGTCGCATAGTAGGTCATTTTCCAGAGCGTCTCGTGTCGGACGAGAAAGTTGTAGCTCTTGGGGAGTTGGTTGAACGGCCATGGCGTGTGATCCGTCCACATGTCGACGACGTTGACGTCATACTTGTCACCGAATTCCATCTCGAACGTCGATTTCAGAGCCTCCGCGCTCGCGCGATGGCCCCCGCCAGTGTCACTCATCAATATTAGCACGCGCTTTCGCCGCGCGGGGTCCTGAACCTTCCGCTCCCACTCCGCCATTGCCATTGCGCGCGCCGCGTGCTCCACTGCGGATTTCGCCGGGCGACCCCGCAGGCGACTGTGAAGAGGACCGCGACTGCCCTTGCGACGATCTGCGGAAACGGGGCGATACGCGGCATGCGAGGGAGAGGAAAGTTAAGTACAGCTTTATGACGGAAGCTGTATTATGATGAAGGGAAAAATGCATGACGGAAACGGTATCGGCGGAGTTTGACCCGCCACCCTCCCATTGCCCCGAGGAGCTGTCGCTCCGCCGCCATCCGTGCGAATGGCCAATTGGGCTTTCCCGTCAAATGAGAGCGAATACTTCCATCGCTCTGTGCTTTCTTTACTGCAACCCCCGCGTTCCCCCCTTTCCGTCCCCGCGTTCCTTGCTCCGCCCCCCTCACCTTGGAGCGCGGCGCCCTTTTTGCCCTCCGCATTGCACTTGGCGTAGCCGTGGCTGCGCGGGTTGCGCCACAGAAACTGCTCCTTGACGGGCGCGGGGGGAGGATGCGCATCTCCCGCCAACACGGGTGGAAGCGGAATGAACGACCCAGGGGAAGGGAAGGCGGAAGACGACGATGAATCCCCCTCTGCTTGCTCGACTTTATCAGCCGATTCGTTGTAATCACCGCTTCCCTTTTCCTCCGCGTCTCCCGCCTCACTCTCCCCCTCCCCTTCTCCCTCCCCCTCCCCCTCCCCTTCCGCCTCCCCATCCCCCTGTGCTTCACTATAATCCGCCCCTTCCCTCCTTTCCGCCAATCTCAACCCCTCACTCCCGTCAACCTCAAGCATCACTCTCGCCGCCGTGACATCCGCTCCCCTTCGACTCAATCGTATTTGTACTTCGGAGGAGACTTCCTGCGGCTCTAGCTCTGCCGAAACTGAACTTCCAGCCCCAGAACCTGCCGCGCCTCCTTCAGATCCCGACGTCGAGCAAGGCCCGGATTGCGTATCTGCTGCAATGTTGTAACCCGACTCGGCAAAAATCGCCCTTGCGAACTCACTACCGAAGAACGACTTTGGCCCGCTTCGTTCCTCGATAGAGCTTGTTGGTTTAAGGCTGACGGTCTGGAGGAAAAAACACAGGAGAAACAGAAAACAAAACATCGAGACACTTAAGCGAAGCTGCACAGACATGTAACAGCAGAGGGCAATAACGATAAAGAAGCAACTAAATAGACAGACGCGGGAAATGGGGAAGGGACGGAGCTGAACGGGGGACAGATTCGGTATGAACCTTCGCGTGCTTACGTGGTGTGTAGTCGGGATGGCGTTGAATGAGAAGGCGACCATGGTGAAACCGATGACGATGAGAAACACGGAAGCGCGGAAACTCAACAGCGCCACGCGCCGCCCTTCTTGCCATTTCCGCGAAAACCATTTACTCGCTTCTGGTATCGAGCTCGGCGTTAGCAACCCCCGGGCTTTCCCCGATTGTAGCTTCCTCGCTTGCCGTTTACAGTCAGGCGTTACTGGGCTATCGGGGCATGGTAGTAGCGGCGTCAGGTTATCAGGAGATTTCGTCATCGGCCCGGGGCTCTGCCGACATGTCATAAAGAAAACGGCTTTCGGAGTGTCTCTGTCGCACGGTTTCGCACACGCGGGTAACTTTTCGTACGCGGGGAGCTCGGCGAGCGGCGAGCGTTCTGTAGTGTGGTAGTGGCGATGCGTGAGGAAAGGAGGGGGAGAAGCCTGCAAGTGGATGTTCACGGATGGGTGATCGACCATAACTCCGCCACCGCGACGACGAGACGGACCAGCTAAGTACAGACGGGATGAATCAAGCTATGAAGGAGATGGGTGGCTGGCGGAATGTTGAGCGCGAGACAAGGAAGGGAAATGCAATTGATGGAGCGCTTTCGTCGTCTGGAGTATTTCCCTTTTCAACTTTGCCTGAGAAGTAAGTGCTGCTGATTGTAGATCTTGTGCTGTTCAAGTCGGCCGCGAGCTGATGCTGATTTCCTAGCGACACTGACCAATCTTATTCTACATCCATAGTCGAGCCAACCTCTGCAAACATTGGTCTATGTCCCTCCTCCCATTGATCCCAAGCGACAGTATCCCACCGAACTGCCGACGAGCAACTAACCAGACACAGACATGAAAGCTCGACAAAGCAGCCACCGCTCCAATCCCACAACTAGCTTTCTCCGCGTGAGGAAATGAAAAAGATCGGTCTGTTTC